AAATGACCCACCGCCCAATATACCCGAGAAAAATGACGGCTACTCGGTTCAATCAGGGTTGTATCATGTTATTTTAAAGCCCTTGGTGTGCAATTTTTAGGAGATGAAAAATACTCGAATATTCGATCGGAGAAATCAGAGTACTCGAACTCGGGATCTCAGTGCCTACTTTCACCCCTAATCCTAATCAATGCTGATATTCTGATACTCAAGTGGTTTGATCGATAAGCCATCGCTTTTAATGTAAATGTTGCGTTGCCACTGATTGATTTAGGATGATCTGAATGTGATCACAAGCAATGTCCGAAATCAAACCAGCCCTGTGACTCTGATACTTTGATGTATGCATGTATATAATATGTGTACTTCTTCTTTGACCCCAAACTCCTATCTAGCTCTGCATGTCTCCTTCACACACTAATTGCGTGCACTTGCCAGTATGGCTGTCTCTGTGTAAATTGCTGGCTTTGTTCACGTTCGCAGTGATGAGATCTCTCTTTGAAATGCCCATGTAAACATTACCGTATAAATATTTGTGCTGACTGGTGTAGCTGATTCTCCATCTTTCTCAACAGTGAATACCGCATGTACTGGGTTCAACGCTGTGTATGAAACGTTGACGCGTGTCTAGGCCTAGTATTTGGTACAACTTGAGCTCATCAACCCATGATGATAATTATGAGCATTCCAGCTGACAATGATGATGGTTCCGTGATGAGTCGCACAACTCTCCGCTATTCTTGCTAGTCATAGTCTATAGAGTACATGAATGACATTGTAGCATATGCTTCGTATTGAGTAGGAGTGCTTGCCATCATGCCACTCGATATGAACCATGTCAAATAAATGATGTACTGTAACTGTAACCAAGAGTACATAAACCAGAGTGTGCAACTGTGCATATCAGATCTGAAACAGCGCAGTTCGTGCACTACGTCACCCTGATGAGATCAGCCAAGCCGCGACTTGCGTAGAGCTCAAATTTTCATGTTTCATAGCCCGGAAATCAGCCAAGTTTGCTTGATTTTAGACGTCCTGTTTCAGGATTTCGGTGTTTTGTGTGACTGTGTACGCTGCGTACATCCACCGACAAGTAAAGTCACCAGGCTATCCGTCTCAAAAAACCGAAATCAGGACAAACTCAGTGAACTGCACCACCGCGACTGGTTACGCAACTTTTCACCGTACCTGTGGCTTACCATGCCGTCAGAAATGACGTAGTGCACGAATTACGCTCCCACAGGAACCATCCCGAGTTGCACACTCTGGTTTATGTACTCTTGCTGTAACCTGTCTAATGTTAAACAGTTTGCTAATTTTGCGAGAAGAGCATAACGCGAATATTAACCATCGTGACATCAAACTTCAAAAGTGGGTGTGTATGTGTGATCACAGTGCTCCGCAAACATTTGCCATCGTGAACTTGCTGGTTCTGAGAAATTGCAAAACTTTAGTGACGCAATATAGGGTGTGGTGATGGTTGTGTGCAGGAGGGTCTAGTCGGCTAAAGAGCGCAGTGTAATGGTGGAGGTGACTCAACATTTTCTTCAATGGCCGAGAGCTCTGTCGCACCCTGTAATAATATAGGGTGGTTTACAGTAATTGTATAACCTCGGTAGCCGCTGACCGTGGTAAACTTCCAGTGTGATGCTGGCCATAGTCCTTGTTGTAAAGATCTGGCAAAGGGCCACAGCAACGCTGAACATTATCTTTCCCAGAACCCTGCATCAACGTTGCATACAGTGACACTGTTATTGTTATTCATTCATATTTTACTACTGGTAGTAGTTGACCCTCTTTGCATGACCACCGTGATCATTTGACGGATCTGCGGCATCACTGGGAGAGGAATAGAGCAGATTGAGGTGTACTGCTGTGCAAAATGACTCACCCACTACACCATGCCATAGGAGTCAAAATAAAGACTCAAAATCCACACAAATTTCAATCTAAATCCACTTGTTCACCCTTCCTGCTGGGCTGTAAGATAGTTAGTACAGTGAAATCTGTCTAAGACGACTGCTCAAGGGACTTTCAAAGTGTGGTCTCTGTAACCAGGTGGTCTCCTTATCCAGTGCCATTTGACTGGAAATAGCATCCCTTGGTCCTGGCTGCAGTGGTCTTCTGAGACAGGTGGTCGGTCGCCTTATCCGAGTGGTCGCCTTGACAGGTTAATACTTATTCTTCATTTTTACAAAACATACTTCAAATGTCATGGCTTTGTTAGGGCCGATTTCCGCTACGTTGCCGTGAGTGCCGTGCCGTGAGTACCCATGGTGATTTGCTCACGTGAGGGGCAGTTTTGGCGCGAGTTCATTCCGTGGCTCCTGCCGTACCGTGCCGTGGACATTCCGGTGCCGAGGGCCTCTGGGGGGTGGAAATGGCATGCCGTGGTATTCCGTGAGGTCGAATGCAGTGAGTAATAGGTATTTTACTACTCCCTGACAGGAAGTTTTTTCTTTCTTTTGTATTTGTGGCACGAAGTTTTTCTTGGCTTTTGGCTTTTCGATTGGTTGATTTTTGAGCTTTCTCCAGTCATCTCCCCCGCTATTTTTCCTCAAGACCAAAGTCAGAAATTGAGAAAATGGTGATCCGCCCTGCCGACGGAATGCACTAATGACTGTGCGCAGGTGTAAATCTAAGGGCCGATTTCCACTACGGCACCATGAGTGCCGTGCCGACGATTTGGGTGGGTCACGTGTACCCCACGGTAAGAGCTTGGAGCTGAGAGTGATTTACACCTGCGCACAGTCGTTCCGTGCATTCCGTCGGCAGGCCACATCACCATTTTTGCCAATTTCTGACTTTGGTCTGGAGGGAAAATAGCAGGGGCCCCGGGGAGATGATTGGAGAAAGCTCAAAAATCAACCAATCGAAAAGCCAAAAGCCAAGAAAACACTTCGTACCACAAATACAAAAGAAAGAAAAACATCCTATCAGGAAGTAGTAAAATACCTACTACACACTGTATTCGACCTCACGGAATACCACGGCATGCCATTTCTCCCCCCCCCCCCCCCCCCCCCCCAGAGACCCTCGGCACCGGAATGTCCACGGCGCGGTACAGCACGACCCACGGAATGAACTCGCGCCAAAACTGCCCCTCACGTGAGCAAATCACCATGGGTACTCACGGCACGGCACTCACGGTACCGTAGTGGAAATCGGCCCTAACTGAGACTGGCTTTATAATCGAATACACCTCCATGGCTTTTAAGGTGCGGACGTCCAGTATGAATGTGTTGCTAAATGGTGACCAGCAAGCCAGTGTTTGCGTGCGTGCGCTAAGTCATGCTGGCTGAAATGTTACTACCAATGCAGCTGGTAATCGTGTTGGAGAACTGCGTGACACCCTGCCTCACTTGGTGATCGGTAGGGCATTACGTAAGGTACATGTACATGTATGATTGGTGCAGTACAGCTGCTCTGGATGTTGGTAACGATTAGAAACTCTGCAACAACACAGCTCAGTGTGATGAGAGAGACTTGATTTCAAGCACAGCATTAAGTGTACTGACAGCAAAACGTTTCACAAGCGCTTGCAAGCATTGCCATTTGTAGCAAGTCCAGCGCAGTTTGACGCTTAAAACCTGGACGCCTCATGCAGTCTATTGAGATTGTGTGGATGACATCATACACACTGTGTGTCATGACTCAAGAGGCATGGCAAACCTTAACCCCCAGTGCTTGTGATATCATTCCACGCAGGGAGTCGTAAAATACCGGTGTTTTACCACTCCCTGAGACCATGCAAGCACCTCACATGATGACGTAATGGCATAGTCTCTGATCGAAAACGCTTGAGCCTTGAGGATCTGCCTGGCATGCCTGCCGCGCCTCTGCAGCAGCATAATACTGAGTGACAACCCAGTGCACATGTACTCTGGGTAGCTAGCTGCTGGGTTAGTTTTGGATACAACTCTCTGCCCTCTGGTGGGGAGGGGACTACACTCCCATGACCTTTTGAACTGTATGTGTTGCCGCGGCACTGGGTGGAGAATGTGTATGCAGTCACACACTCCTTTATAAGGCAGAGTTCACCCGAAAGTTGAATAGGGGTCCATCAGAGGCCAACATCACCTCGAGCTGGAATCGAAAAAGGATACTAGTACCCGAAAAAGAAATTAACATTGGCCATTGCATATTGATGCCATTCTCCCTTTACATGTTCTGACCTCTTGTAACCATATACAGTCAACTTCGCGAATAACGACTGCGGACATAACGACAATTCGCGAATAACGACAGCATTTTCATGCCCAGAGCAAAGTCCCATCCAACTCACTTACTGTAACACATATAATGAGACTTCGGGTATAAGGACACTTCGCGAATAAGGACACTTTTCTGATGCCCCGCCGGGTGTCGTTATAAGCGAAGTTGACTGTAGAGGATATGCAATGTACGTCGCATACACGTGTAGTACGTTTGCCGCTGAAAGTTCTTCTATACAAGGGGTCTGTGTACGCACCTAACCCATAAATGGGCATTTTGCCACTCAGCTGCCTCTCACATAAGATGGATGTGACGTCCTTGCATATCCTCCATGTATTCAGCTAATGTATGTGCTGCTGCTGTGTGTTTGTTGTGTCTTGTCAGGGTTACGAATCGCCTTGCGAGTCTCCGAAATTGTCCCGCGGGAAGGCACAGCAGAACATGCCTCACCTGTCAGTGACACCGGCGATACACCTTCAACTGGCCCAGCCGCTCGGTGTTGCCGGCAACATAGGTGCAAAGACCAGCGATAAGCCGGTCACACGACGCCAGGCACGTATTGGGCATGAGGAGGTAGAGGTGACACGACGGCCGCAGCAAGCGTCAAAGACCTTATCTGCGCCACCGATGCTCCCACTCGGCCATAAAGTCAGATACAGTTTGGACAGCAGCGATTCAGCTTGCCTGGACATCAGTGACATCAGCATCCACCTGCCGTCACTGAGCGACTCGTTTGATTCCCACGGTGCGTCCACATCGTCCCTCTTACCCGGCTCCCCTCAGATTAGCGTACACACTGTTATAGATAGTCTTGGGTAGCAATAGAGAAGCCACCCACAGCTTGTGCGTGTGTGTGTGTGTGTGTGGCAGGCACCCATTTTCTCTAGCCCTCTTAAAAAAAACACTATCCATGATCTTAACCGCACCAAATGTTTTCTCTCTCAGTGGGAAACTCCACTTGCTTGCGGTCCCTCATCTCGTGTTCCGCTTCTAACACCGTGTGACTGAAACTCCTTGCACAGACTTGCGCTGATTTCTTTCAGCAGCTGAGCGTCTTTAGTCCTTGTCAACATAGTGCCTTGACTGGCATTGAGTGCTCAGTTACTAACCCGGACAATGTCCACTGGTGCTTGCAGGCTTGCTGCTTCTTTTCTTGCTGTTCCAAGCAGTCATCCGACAAGGCTTTGGATTTTGCTCCTGGTTGCTGTTGGCAAGCTCCTTGGGGAGCCTTGTCTGCTGGGCCTCGTTATGCGTCTATTTTTTGCTCGGCTACCATGGTCAACGATATTCTTATTTAGTTAGTGTGTGCTTTTGCGTGTGAGTGTGTGCGTGTGAGTGTATGTGCCCACACGATGTTATGTAAAGGTGCTGGTCACTAGTTTCTCAGTGGTCAATTGCCTATTTTTTTCTTACCGTCAGAGCCGCCGGTCGAAACATATTGCCTGCTGGTCAATGCTACAGATAATGTAACTCCAAACTAACTAACTCTCTACACCACGGCTGCAGCTTGTAGTCACGTTTCATGCAGTGGTTGTGTTCCCCTTGCCCAGCCTGTAGTCCAATATTGCCCGCCCTGCTAACTCTTGCTAATTCCTGCTACAGCTGTACTTGCAATGCGCTTGACTCCATTCCATTCTAATTTCTTATTACGGTTTAATACTTCTACGAATGTGTCAAGCTTGCACGTTCGTATTCCTCCGTGCGACAGGCTCCATTTTCATTTGATTCCTTGTTCCTTTTATTTTTATTTTGGATTTAACCTGTGTAGTCGGACCCACAATATGCCTGTTGTGTCCGTTTGTTCTTATAGACTGTGCCATCTCTGTTCTTATAGACTGTACGAGTACCATCTCTGTACTCGTAGTACTCTTGTTGTAGTGTTGTGTGACCGCCACTGACACTGTGACCACACCCCGGTATCATCGGTAGCGGCGCACGCGTGTGTGTGTGTGTGTGTGCCAGTGTAAGACCAAAAAGTAGAGATTCACTGGCCAGAAAAAGCCACTTCATAGCTGTGTCACACCCCGGTATCATCGGTAGCGGCGCACGTGTGTGTGTATGTGTACGTGTGTGTGTGTGTGTGTGTGTGTGTGTGTGTGTGTGTGTGTGTGTGTGTGTGTGTGTGTGCCAGTGTAAGACCAAAAAGTAGGGATTCACTGGCCAGAAAAAGCCACTTCATAGCTGTGTGGTGTAGACCAGGCTGAATAGTGGCGGTCAATTCTTCAGCCTTGCAAGGTTGCCAAGCTGTGGAATGGTGCAATCCCAGCACAAGTTGCTATGGCTTCTGCTGTAGCATCACCGTTATCGCCCCCGGCGATGGGCGTCAAATGGTGTGTGTGTGTGTGCGTACGTGTGTGGTGTTGTGTGTGTGTGTGCGTGTGGTGTGGGTGTGTGTGTGCGTGCGCGTGCTACATTTGTAGTACCAGTGAGTACTGTAAAGCGACAAACTTTCGCGGCGCGCAAATTTAGCGTTTTCATAAATTGGGCTGGTTTACGATGAGAAACTTTTGCGATTCTATCTCTTCAGTTGGATCTTGTACTGTCTACAATCAATGTACGGAGGGGTTTGCGGCGTTTTATATTCGCGAATGCGTGATGGTCACGAAAATAGCGAAATTTAATTTCTAGCGAAAGTTTCTCATTTTACAGTAGTGTCCTCCGCCTTGTGGCAAAGTTGTGCTGCTATCATGAAAATAATTATTACCGTATCATAGTTCATACCGGTACCTAGAAGTACAGACTGTCACGTCAGTACCTAGGCTAAACAATTAATAGACCAATCCCGAAAAGATTGTCTGGGTTCGAAAGGGGGCATGTCAACTGAGAGTACACTGTACAACACATACATGGCACTACCTGATCAGCATGCGGCACAGGACGTGTTTGATAGTTCGCGTGTGAATGCGAGGGTAAGTACACGATTTTCTCGTTAGTTGCATGCAAGAGAGACGATGCGACAGAAAGCGAAGCCCTTTGTAGTTTTCTCTCTCGCACTGGTAATGGTCTGCTGTTGGAGTTGAAATGCTAAGACATAATCCTTGTTTCGCTCTTCTGTGTAGTGTGAAGAGGTCAACGAACATGTAGAGCTCACTTTGATGAAGTAGGCAAGGCTGTGAGCGCTGTGGCTCAAAGCGATAGGCCCTAAATCTTACGAGATATTTCGAGTGCTATTGTTTGTTGCGAGCGCTTCGTCTTCGATGAGTCCTGCCTCTTTCCTGGCAGCTGCCCTCCTATAGGACCAACCACGAAGTGACTGTACTCATCTGCAGCCGATCAATGTTATATTGCACAAGAAGATATCGTTTTCGCCAAGCCAGTGCCCCGCCAAAGACCATCGCCGTGTCACACCGTCGGAACGAGTTCATGATGAGAAACATCATTCGCGCGAGCGTGATGAAGAAATATTTCGAAAGACAACATAGTCTTTACCCCCGGGACGACAACTATGTGCACGTCCTGCAAGGGGAGAATGTCACCAGCGACATCAACGAAGACGACGGCAGCATTTCGGAAACCTGGAGGCAGCGGAGGTCGTCAAGCTCCTCCGCGACCCGGTACATGTACAGTATGTGACATGTCGACACGAGCGTGCGGAAACACAGCATACTCTGTAGTACTGTTGCGAGAGTTTGCGGAAGGAGTCCAAGTCGGGAAATCCATCAGCTCCAAAAGCTACCTGTAGGTGGGCGATGAGACTCCAGCTTCAGACTACAACAGTCAGGACTTGTAAATAGTTGAACTTTGTGAAGCATCAGATCGAGAAGTTAGCTGAAATCGTAGCTGTTGCAGTATGTCGGCGCTATGTAGCTTGCATTTTTTACGGAGAGTCGATCGCCACGCGAATGTTTCTCTCCTCACCGAGAGCTATCTGGCCTCCAAACTCCGTCAGGGTCTGCCTAAGGTACCGAAGGTCCTTTGACTAGCTGCTGGCAGGACTCCATCAAATCCTTTAGCTTCAGCTCGGCGAGCAAAAGTCTCTCTCTCCTCCGCCATGAGCTGACACACACAAACTGAATACAAAACGATACACTTCACACGTGCTGGCTTGCACGCGTGCCCCCTTTCACGAACCCAGACAATCTTTTCGGGATTGGTCTATTTAATGTAGGCTAGGCTAGATCTAGATGCCATGCGCCAGTGCATGCGGTGTGACCGACCATGGCTAATTCTCTGCTACTATGGTTACATCTTGTGGTGTGTGGGCTGCCGCGTGTGGGGGTATTCCCTCCTAGCAAGAGTACTCTTGCTCCTAGTGTGGGCTCGATCGAACCAGCTGATCCTCTACTACGTAGTGCTAGTACTAGTACTACTACTACTCTTCCTCGTAGTCTTGAGCTTTTACTTGATGATCACGACCATAGCTAGCAACGAAACCGTAACCATCGCAACGAAGTGCAGTGAAGATGCTGTCGACAGCACACGCAGCTAAAGCAGTGACTGACATCTGTGTGTACCTGCGTTGAGCCACTTGATCTTGAGGCACGAAGAGCGAGGAAGGAGGGTTTGATTTGAGAAGGCAGCAAAAGCTCGTGCTGGATTCAGACAGCTCAAGGTGTTACTGTGCTGTTCAACTACTTTTGTAGAGTTCTCGATAGCACTTCTACTCAGCTGTTGGCCGGTGGTGGATTCCTTTCGATTGCTGTCCACAGACGTGCGAAGGAGAGTTGCGATCTGGAGTGCAGCCAGGTGCGACCGACCAGTGCGCAGTCTACACCCTTCCCGAAAATGGTAAGTAACACATCAGTTCGTTCATATCATGCGTTGAGAGACTATTTTGACTTCTTGTTCTGCGAAGATAGATCTGCTCCTGGCCTGGCCAACCAGTTGCCTACATGGTTTGGTGTCACACCTACTGTAGCAACTAGCACCTCGCAGTGGCTAGGTGCCTCGCTGTTGTGTACGTAATCGTTTGCACAGTGACTTACTAGACTGTGCGCAGCTAAATGTAAACCACAGTATCGCGCTGAAATATCACGATCTCGTTCAGTTTCGAGCTTTTTTTGTCTTGCTTCAGAAGTTTAGCCACTACAATGTCCGCCTTCTCTTGCAGAGAGCAGCACGGTTTGCTGAGCTCTGATCAGTGTGCTCGGGGCCTACTCGACAACCACGGAATGTTTGGCATGGTCGTAAATGTGCTCAGGCAGGACTCAATGAGTTACCAGAGCTCCTGTTCTGTATAGCTTTGGCCAACCACCTACTCCGGTGCAAACGGCTCACCAAAAAGGTTCCTTTGAAGGTATCGGCGGCGGCGGAGCAAAACGAATTGCTACTCGTCTACCGTCATTACACAGCGGTCAGTACACAGCGTCGTTACAGAATGCCTTCATTTATAGCGCTCGCCAATAAGTACTTCCAGCCAGACATACAGACGCTCGACCAGCATGCGCTGGGGTTGGGTTCGCAGAAAGCCGCGCGGTTCAACGAAGTACACTCGGTGGCGGTAGGTGCACGGAGTATGTGGACTATTTCCCTTTCCTATTACCGGCGCAGCTGTAAGGCTGGATAGAATTAGAAACACATACCTGTCAACCTTTGCAAACCTGAGATCGGGACAATGACATACCTAGTCCTAGTCCTAGTCCTAGTCCTAGTCCTAGTCCTAGTCCTAGTCCTAGTCCTAGTCCTAGTCCTAGTCCTAGGTATGAAAATTTATACAAATGTAGCTGTGAGGCATACGATGAATGCACTTGCCTACTGCCACCCTTGATATGGGGACGGTCCGGCCAAATTGGGATGCTTGGCACGTATGGAAACACTATACGTACTGTCTACATGTATTGTCGAGACATGAACTGTAATGGCAGGGTTTTATTCTTGGGGTGCGAGGGTCTGTATGGCACTATGGGTCCCAGGTTCGGTGGCCTAGCTAAGCGAGGTTGTTTTCCGCTTGTACTTCGGCATGTTGTAAGGCTGGGTGAAGCCGCGGAGGACGGTCACAAGTGTGTCCACTTGGGTTTGGTGCTGGGTTTCGACGATGTTACTCGAGATATTCTTGCTGATGGTACCAACTATTCAAAATTTAATAATAATAATAATAATACTAACTTTCGGTTTGGTTGGATTTATGAGCCGGTATGGTAAGCTTCGGGAGAAGTTTCTTTGTGGTTGTTTAGCTTGCCAATGATGCAGGCTTCTGGCTTGGCCATTGTGATATTAGTATAGGCTTTGTCACGGTGCTTGGTTCTCCAATCCAGCTAATGGTGCAGACTTTGAATTTGGCTGGATTTATGAGCCGGCATGCAATGCTTCAGGAGAAGTTTTCTTTGTGGCCCCGCTTGATGTAGGCTTCTGGCTTGACCATGGTGATATCGTTCCCCATCCTGCCTAAACGAGTACTCAGACCTTGTTTCAAAGTGCCGACACGAAAACAAGTTCCTCCTAAAATACTGCCATGAGTACTTGAACCATAAACTTACGGAACTTGAACTTCCTCCTATCCTTTCATATGCTTTGAGATCGGCTGCGCTGCGTTGTAGATCATCCGGGGTCCCGTCTAGCTGAGAATCACCTTTGCTACATTGAAAGCGAACAGGAGACATGTTTTGAGTAAAAACAAGAGGAAATAAGCTCCCAAGAGTGTGCAACTGTGCATATGAGGTCTCATACGAGGGAGTACGACTCCCTGTCTCATACTATGAAAACTCAGATCACGTTTTGTATTACATGTATGTACAACTTGCTAGAACTTAGGCCAGTGTCTGTGCAGTTCGGATATCAGCCACGGTCCTGCTGAATTGCTGATGACTAGCATAAAGCCTGATTCATACATCATTTCAATTTGGCTTGAAGGGGAGGTATGATCTAAAATCAAAATGTCACGGCTAGTAGTCTTCGGGGGTGCTGAGTCAAACGATCTTGGTCTGAGGAAGCTGATGCGCTCCCTTTGTCCTAGGCTAGCTATAGTCCCAATCGAACTCGCGCATTTCCTTTGAAACTTGGCGAGTGTGCCGCATATTAGATAGGGATTCGTGTGGAAAATGTCACTGAAAGTATTACTTCGTTCTTATAGAAGTACGGATGAGCGTGGAACTCCCAGAACCTGTAGTATTCTGGATGCTGAGTCAAATGATCTTGGTCCATGGAGGCTGCGATACAGCTTTTGGTCCTTATTATCAATCAAATGCGGTCCTGTACTGACGCGCACATCAGTTACCTGGTCACCGTGCCAGTACAGTGCAGTGCACCATGCATTCGTGCAACAACTTGCACTCCCTGTGACCAATGCAATGCACGGTGAACTCTTCAAAGGTCACACACCCTTTTGGGACCAAGTGTTCATCAAGGAGGTAGAATGTACCCAGCTTATCAAGTGGTGATGGACTCTTTGTGTGATGCTGTGTCAGTGTACTTGAGTCACATGTATTGCAGTCTGTTGCATGCATCATGCCTGCTGATCTGCACAGGCACGGTGACCAGGTGACTTGTGTATTTCGCATCAATACAGGACCGCATTCGATAGATAATAAGGACTGAGCGCTGTATTACAGCCTCCTTGGACCAAGCTAATCTGATTCAGAGTCCAGAAGATTACTGCCACTGGTTCTGGGTGTTTCACGTTCATCCCTGCTTCGAGAAAAACGATGTGACACTTTCGGGGCCATTGTCCACACAAATCCTTATCCGACTGGTAGTAAGGCGCACTCCCCTAGTTTTAGAGGAAGTGTGCGAGTTTGATTGGAATAGAGAACGAGGGGAATATCTTCGCTTCTTTGGACCAAGGCTGTTCGGCTCAGCACCCCGAAGACTACCCGTAGTGGAGTTTGATTTTAGACCATACTTCCCCTTTTGGAACGTACAAAACGAATGCTACATCACGTGATGTGAGTTTGCCGTCAACGGACCCCATAGCAAGGGTATCCAGAGTTGCACACTCTTGGGAGCGTATTTACTCTTGGCGAAAGCAAGTACCGTAAAGTACTACCGTTCCCCACCCCACGCTGTTGCTTCCCAGGTAGGTCAAGTTGGAGAACTGTGTGTCAGATGTACAGTGTCATTGTCTGCACTTTTATTACCATTCAGGGACACTACTACTAGAGTGTGTGGCTATGACGGTGTGTACTCACCCTCTCTGTGTCCGCGTGTGTGCTGTGTGCTGTGTATAGGAGCTGGCTCGTAGTGTGTCGACATCAACCCGTGGCTCTGGAGCCAGCGGTGCTGCTGCCAACCCCAAGAAGACCAATACCAGTAGATACCGGCGCTTGGCTGGCAAGTCATCTGTGGTATGTAGCGTATTTCTACTGTACATTCATCCATTCGCCCCCGAACCAATACTGAACTGCCACATCTACGTTCTACCTTGTTTGGTAGATAGTTTTAACATTGTCCACATTAATCAAGCCCACTGTAGGCAGGACACATGTTTGTCAGTTGTTGCTGGACTACAATTGTTTATAAGTTAGTGCTGTCCTGGGTCACGTGATCGGTGATGACCACATGTACCAGGGTCATATGATTGATCATGAGCACATGTACCAGGGTCATGTGATCGGTGATTATCAGTATCACACATACTCTATGGATTTTTTTGCTGGTGTTTTTATGGATCCGTTTGCTACCTCAGGACGAGTCCTTATTTACTGGTGGCCAGGCCAGCAAGAAGAAGACGACAATGCGGAGTCGGAACATTGAGGCGGAGAAGCGCGAGCTACAAGGCCTGGCCACACTGCCTGGTGAGTTCACGTGCTGCTGCACACGTTATTCTGCGTATGCAGAAAGAGAATCATGCGTGCAAACTCCATTGGTAGAGTTTCGTGTGTGTGCATGTTAGTGGCCGTCTTGCTCGGTGCTCTGGCTCTCGATAATATCCTTACTCTAAATCTTAGTGGAGCCAACATTTCCCAGATGTATGGAATCACGTTGTTGTAGATGGTCAGGCTCCATACTGCTATCCTCTATAGCATCTCCATCAACCGTTACTAACACATGATTGTACTGTGTACTAAGTATGCCACTGGTATTCTCTTCTTTGTCTGCCAATCAGCTAAGCCCAAGCAGGAGACAATTAACTTGGTGACGAAGGATCTAATTCGCACACTGCGGTAAGCAGCGACTCGACCCCGAACGTCCTGTCATAATCCTGGCAGTTGAAGGATGTTATGGATTTCATGTTAGGATTTACTGCCATCAACAGCAATGACTGCATGCTTCTCAATGGCTCTTTGGGAAAGCTTTGCCTTGTTTGTGAACTAACTTACTTCCTGAAAACCCCCTTTTGCATAGTCCTGCCAGTAGCCCTATTCAGAACTCCATGTTCTGACATGTGTAATGTTCGCCGCTTGTTGTGCTTATGGGTGCCGGTGCCTGCCTTGTGATATACCAGTGTTCCTCAAAAGGACCCGTCGGGACAGTCCGTCATCCTGCCAATGTCGGAATTTGACCGCATCAAGGTGCGTACGTCGGCGCTCATGTATCTGACTCTCACTGCCAGTAGTTCTCACCTACACGCTGTATTTAAACAGGCCTATTAGTCGATGATACACTGTGCATGTGTGTAATACTAATAATAATTATACTATGTATCTGTAGATTAGGAACTGAAAGTACATGCCCAGTCACAGTGTTTGTATGCTGCGTACATGTGTAGGTAGTGAGACATTGAGCACACTAACAGCAAAGAGGTCTATGTGTTCATGGGTTCTGGTGATGCACACATGCTCACAATCGCGCATATGCATACCGCAGGCCCGATAAACAAATCTGACCCTCGGATTGTCTGAATGCTGTTGTGTCTGTGGCGATTTCTATCTGTGGCATGGCTTCGTGTATGCAGCAACGTGCCACGGCTCCAAGCATAGCGCAGCGCAAAACCCTTGTGGCCGAGCAAAAGGAACTAGAAGCCGGTTTACAGGTAAGTGTGATTACAGTGCGTCGTCACGGTGATCAGCAGCAGGGAGTGGTTTAGGTACACTTCCCTGATGATCAGGGTGCATGTGTCATGTGACCGTGCTTTGCACTTGTCATTGATATTCCTTGCTGTCCATGTATGTGACTAGGCAATTTGTCTGTGCATTGTCACGGTTATGGCCGTGTCAGTGGCAGGTCTGGCTGCCAATGCCAATGGACTAGAATTGTTATCCACCACTAGTCCGCTGTTTGTAAATGTACCTCGCCTCTGGCATGCAGGAGGCGAGTTCCATGCGACGCCAGGAGATGCGAGCCTACGAGGAGACCAGGAAGCGGAATGCCAAGCCATCGGACTTGGAAGAGGTATTGGCCGACAATGATAAATTAGTACTTCAATTAGTCCAAGCTCATGCACACCTCAACACACGCTTACTCTCTGTTGCACCACCGGACGGGCCAAGCAGATGCGTCTTCCGATTATACGCCGTATCTTAGATTTCCGTGACACTGTCAGCGCGCATACATGTACTGACCTGACCAATACCCATGCAGTTAGTCACCAGTGATACCTAGCCCTAGCCATGGTTTGGCACCACTCATGTGTTCATGCCTGGGTTGAACAAGGCCGGTGGCAGCCTGATGCACAACCCTCATAAAAAGGCAATACTAGTATAACAACTTAACAAGCATATTTGCAGCACGGCCGTGTACTGATGTGGAAAGAATATAATTGTCGCGGTTTGTCGGAATACCGTCGTTGAGTGTACAGTGGTCACTAGTAAGATATGGTATGCACGTAGTAATAGTGTGATTGCAGGTCAGTTATCTGGCATGGCAAGAATCAGACCTGCTCATATTGATTTTTTTCTTCTTTTTCTTTCTTTTTTTTAATCGTTTTAGGAAGCGTACGCGAGAGCACAGCATCTACAGGAGAAGGCCGAGGCATCTACCATTGAACAAGAGGATGAGATAAAGAACTTGAATGAGGTTGGCGCTGACAATAGAGTAGGAGTTTAAGCATAAGTGACTGTTTACTAGTGTTTAGTGACCTAGTCCTTTCATACCACCAAGTACACCAGATAATACCTATGTATTGTTTTAAACTGTTACATGTAGAACTATTAATTTTTACTGTGTGTTTGCTACCCAACAGCCAAGGATGACAACCTTATGTTAAAAAAAATTGGGACCAGCAAGTGCACTCATGAGGCAGTCCAGGCTTGTTTGTCACGCTATCTTGTATTGTGTGAATTGAACATTGAGAGAGAGAGAGAGAGGGGGGGGGGGGGGACCTGGTGATTGCATGAATTGAGCAACTGGTGTACGCTGGAAGCACACGTCGCATTCTGGCTAACCTCCCTGATTTGTTGTCGATGTGTGATTTAGATCCTCCTGGAAGCCAAGTGCAATGCGATACGCGACCTTCAGCTGGAGGAGAAGAAAGAACTTGCTGCATGTTTTGAAGATGAAGATGTATGTGAACTGGCTTTAAGTCGTCCGTTGTTAAGAAGTTGAATGTACCGGTAGATCTAGAGTGAGCCGTGATTTCTGTCAAAGCTAAAAGATATACAGGGGTTGAACAGGACATTTTACGTTTCCCGTTGTAATAAATAGGGGATGGGGGGTTGGGCCAACAGCAGTACTCTTGATGCTACCACAGCAAGGAATATTGGACGAGATTGAAAGTTAGCATTTTGTATAGTTACCCGAGCTGGATTGATTTCTGGGGGGGGGGGGGGGGGGGGGGATGAACAATGCCTATTGATACACTATCTGAGTGTGATAGACCTTGATAGGTTACAACGTGGTGGATAATGTCAATACACAGAAGTCTATTGGACCCTGACATCTGCATTTTCCCTCTACTTTTCCCACCTGCATGTCAGAAACGCTTGGACACCATGATGGAGGCGGAGAGGAAGCAACGCATCGAGGAACATGAAATGAAAGGTAATATATTTCTTGGCTTGAATTCCACGTTGGTCAACGCTTGCAAAGGAATTTGAGGAGCTTTCAGAACACCGTTTTAGCCGACTTTGCCTTTGTTCTTGAGGAGTTCCCATAATAATTATTATCTCTCCCCTGTATCCATCTTCTGTATGCGTCTTTTGCTGCAGAAAACAAGCAACGACTGCAGAGACTAGAGTAAGTCACGTGCAGACACTTTTCAAGATCCCCAATGGTAGCTGAAGCCTCCATGCGTGGTGCACATCCCCGTTAGCAAGAGTACATACCCCCCCCCCCCCCCCCGAGTGTGCAACGCCTGATCCAGCTCTGCATAGGGTCTTGGTCGAGCGTAATCAGATCTTTGCGTCATAATACCGTACACATCTGAGGGGAACCCGGGAAGTCGCGGGTACTCTCGGATCAAAAACAATAGTGCCCTGCCTCGAGACCGGCCTTGCGCTGGTGTGGAGTGTACGCATGACATCAGAAGATCCGATTCCGCTCGACCAAGACCCTATGCAGGGCTGGATCAGGCGTTGCACACTCTGGGGATATGTACTCTTGCTGTTAGGTGCAATGTGATGAGTACGTACAGATTGCAGAGTTCAGGTTATAGCCGACCATCCACTAGATTTGTGCTGGAATGTATCAACCAGTCGGAGCTTATTGCCGACTGTTATTGTTGATACCCGCATGTGTTGATTCATCGCAGTGTTTTAGCGTATATGATGAACTCGCTTCACAGGTAGAGATTTGACCGGGGCAGAAGATAGAAAGAGGTAGATCAACGGTACTTTCCGGTACATGCATTCTGCACTGCCTTAGGAAGACGTGCTAATAGCCATCAGTCGTGCTCCTCTCCACAGCGACGTGCTCCCCTCCACAGCGACGTGCTCCCCTCCACAGCGACGTGCTCCTCTCCACAGCGGCGGGCTGTTATGCTCTATAGTACGATTGTTGTGGATATTTAAGATTTTACGGTCGTAGACGGCACTCTAGCTGTGTGTTCCTCTGCATGTGTCCAAGCAAAGACCTGTAGCTACATATGCATTGTCCTCACTCTTCTACTGTTCTCCGTTCGGCAGAGGTGCCACAGTTCTGCGCACTCAGATAGAGAAACAGGAACAGCACCGACTACTCAACGAGGAGAAGAAAGATCAGGAGACCCAGCAAATGATCAAGTACCTGCAGCATCTACAGGAAGAGGACATGGACGCGATGCGGGTGAAGAAAGAAAAGCAAGCGGCGCTCATGGTCGAGGTGGGAAAGGCAAATGAGGTGAGTTTTGCACGCTGGAAAGTCTCGTTTCCCCTGGATGCATGCTGTCAGCATGGTATCGGTGCTAGTTTGTGTGGCTGGTGTTCCTCTCTGCATGGCATCCAACCGTGAATACCCGTACATGTGTAGTGTAAATAGCCGATATCAGGATTCTGACTTCCTTGCACGTCTGTCTGTGGTCTTTTCTTGATCTTTCTCTTGCATCACAGGAGATAAAGCGACAGAAGCTAGTAAAGAGAGAGCAAGAAAAGCAGGAGGAGCTGCAAGTGGCAAAGTATTTGCGTGAGAAGGCGGTAAGTGACTGGAACAGCACACTGACATCTGTATGCTGTTCACCGAGTCAGATACCCATAGAACGTATTCAAGAGATCTACAACCAATGGGGAAGACAATATTTGGCAAGGACAGGCTTTGCACATGATCAACAAAGTTCAACATTTGCTCGTATCTAGCTGCTGGCACTGTTCCAAGTGCTGTGGCATAGAGTAAAAGCTCCAGTATGACCTCAGTGGTGCTGGATTATTGTTTGAGCTCATCATGCCTGCTCTGCGTTGTGGCCGGGCCGCTTTTAAGGAAACAAGATTGGGACAATTGGTTGGTAAGGACGTATTGTGTTGGCCTGTAAAAAAGGTAAATGGTTAACATTCCCACGTTATTGCCAACTCCAGGATGAGTAAGTGGATGTTGGTGGCCCCCAGAACACCATCCCTCTCTCTCTCTCTCTTCAATGGAGATGTGCATGGTGGCACCTTGCCAGAAGCCATACTCAATGAGTCATTGTTTTTTTGCGCTATCTGATTATTTTCTGACCCTAACCCCTCTTGCAGGAAAGAGAGGAAGCACTTGCTAAGGAAGCGGAACGCCAGCGCATCGCAAAGGAGAAAGAGATTGCCCGCCTCCGTTCGCTCCAGGAAAGGGCCAAGGATGAGCAGGCAGAGAAGGTTAGTGAGTATGTATCTCTGTATATGTATCTCTGTGTATGTATCTCTGTGTATGTATCTCTGTGTATGTATCTCTGTGTATGTATCTCTGTGTATGTATCTCTGTGTATGTATCTCTGTGTATGTATCTCTGTGTATGTATCTCTGTGTATGTATCTCTGTGTATGTATCTCTGTGTGTATGTATCTCTGTGTGTATGTATCTCTGTGTATGTATCTCTGTGTATGTATCTCTGTGTATGTATCTCTGTGTGTATGTATCTCTGTGTGTATGTATCTCTGTGTATGTATCTCTGTGTATGTATCTCTGTGTATGTATCTCTGTGTGTATGTATCTCTGTGTGTATGTATCTCTGTGTGTATGTATCTCTGTGTGTATGTATCTCTGTGTGTATGTATCTCTGTGTGTATGTATCTCTGTGTATGTATCTCTGTGTGTATGTATCTCTGTGTGTACGTATCTCTGTGTGTATGTATCTCTGTGTGTATGTATCTCTGTGTGTATGTATCTCTGTGTATGTATCTCTGTGTATGTATCTCTGTGTGTATGTATCTCTGTGTATGTATCTCTGTGTATGTATCTCTGTGTATGTATCTCTGTGTGTATGTATCTCTGTGTGTATGTATCTCTGTGTATGTATCTCTGTGTATGTACATGTACATGCATGTATATTGTAATGCTTGGAGCTTGCTAAAACCCAGGGAGATCATTGTTACACAACCGTGAGTTGATCCGATTTCTTACCAATGATTGTTCTGCTGGGCCACTGGCACAACTTGTTTTTTTGTTTGTTGGCGTCGTTGTTGTCGTTGCTGTCGTCCTTGTCGTTGTTATTGTCGTAATTGCTGCTTTTGTCGTCGACGTTGTGTTTAGGATGCACTGAGAGCCAAGAGAGATCAAGAAAATGCTGAGCGGGAGTGGAGACGCAAGGAACGGGAGCGCGTGGCAAAAGAGTAAGACCCTTCCTCCCCGGCGTCGCCTGCTGATTTAGTTAAATGTGCCTTTTTCAGGAACACAAACACATTTTGATTACACTGTTCTGACGAATCTTTGACACTAAACTACGAACACGTTGTAATTTTCCTTTGACATCAAATGTGAGGAGGGGTGTATTTGAATGGTAAAGGGGGAGAGAAGAGGCAGAATTGTCCTGCTGTAGGGAAGGTGCCACGGACAACAAAAAAAGCAAGGGAACAACTGCCTTGAAGCCTGTCCCTGGATGAAGTACTACAGATTCAAGTACTGTAATAATTAGTCAATAGTATGTTGAATGCCGCATAATTGCCGTAAACACCGGATATCATGACTAGATTCATTACGCCTGTGCACTTTAGCATCATTCTGCGTTTTTGTTGTCTTATTTACTATATTCTCAATGGTTTTACTTGTACATTTGCACTGTCTTCTGCAGGACTTCAATGCACGAGCATCTAAGGCAGGCACGTGTTGATCAAGTGCATCATAAGGAACACTACATGGCAGTGCAGGTACGCAATGAATAGAAACATGGATTATGTCACACACATGACAATGCTTGCGCCTTTGATGGGCAATTGTTTGGAATTAGAGGCACTCAAGTTTTTGTCCATTTTAAATCCTGCTCCAGTTTTCTGTTGTTTAATCTGACTGCTTTGCTAAGACTAGTTCACTTGTGTTTTCTCTTCTTTCCACATGATGCAGGCGGCACGAGATCGACAAGTCTTCGACACAATGGTCCAGTAAGAGTTGCTAAGCACATGTTGAGTATTTAGCTTCCTTTTACTGTGTATACATGTATGCAGAAGGTGGGCGTAATCAGTCTCTCAGTTTTCTCTTTTCGTTCAGCCACACAGTCATGTTGAGTTATTTTGATGCACTCAGTTTGCAAACAGCACACGAGTGTTGTTGTTGTTGCTGTGTGCGCGTGTTTGCGGTACATTTTGTTCTCTGTGTGGTACATTCTATTCCTTGCAGTGAGCAGCGCAAAGCGCTGGAAGAGGAAAAGCAAACAGAGCAGCGGCAAGCTGCAGCGCGCTACAAGAACGCATCTGTTGTCAGGAAACAGATCACTGACAAGGAAGCTCAGCAAGTGGAACAGCGGCAGGACTTCTTCCAGGAAGGCAGGCGCCTTGACAAAGAAGCTCAGGAAAGGTAGGCACAGTGTTCTTCCGCGTGCCCCTCCCCTCCCCCCCCCATCCAATCTATCAACTGGTCTCAAGGAACCCTGACTCCCTAAGGCAGTTCATTGTGTTCATTGGCTGACCAGACTCGACCGACACTGTGACCCACAGCATGTTTGAAAAGTACAACGCCTTTCGGATACCCATTTCAATGCCTTTCGGATACACTCATTGATTATCCCAGTTATAAAGTCATATGAGTTTGAGAAATAGGTCCCAGCACAAATTCCCATAGCCAACTTTCAGGAACAGGTTTAAAATGAGACGCGCCAAAGTGCATTGCAACGAGTTTTTTTAGTCCAGTCAGTGCACGATGGAATATTTATTCAAAGAAAGCATTTGCCACGAGGCCATTGCAGTTGCTACTATAATATACTAGTGGTATTGCCCCACTGTTTAGGAGTGTGAACAAGCAATGACACCTTCTTGTCCAATCTGCTGTACATCCACTACTTTCTGTGTTTACAGACGAGAGCGCCTACATGCAATCAAGATGAAGAAACTAGAGGCGTTGAAGGACATCGGCATCCCTGACAAGTACTGCGCACAAGTTAGCCGCCACATTCATGCGCCACCGCCAAGTTTCACGATGAGCAAGAAAGTCTAAAACGGAGAGAGCTCTTTAAAAACTTTTTTTGGCCTGCAGCCAATTCACAAAAATACCAAAACTATGATGATGCAACAAACATGATGGTTAAGTTAAAGTAAGCAGTCAAAGAAAAGTTGAATTGAAGTATGAAACATGAACATGAAAGTTTATTGTTGTGATTTGCAAAATATTCTTGTGAGTTTTTGTACATAAGCTGGTTTTGAGAGTTTTCCAAAACACGACTGTACTATGTTATAATTATATTGTCATCACACACACACACAATGAATCCAACTGACAAGTTCATGAGAGCATCATGTTCATTAGTAGTAGTTTCACACCATAAAAGTACTCTGGAATACTACTGCGGCTGCTGCGGCTGCTGCTGTCTAGATATAATCTGTTACTTGACTTTTATCCCTTCCACTACTTAGAGATTCTTAAGACGAATGAATGCTACTGGAAGATAATGGTTGTCCACATGTTTTGTTTGAAGTAATTCACCTGGATTTCTTCGGGGTCGGTATTTTTGATTGAGCCGGAGAGGGAATTTTCGACTGTGCTGCCACTGATTTAGGGACGGGTATTTTACTGAAGGACGATTTGCGTTTGAGTTTCGGCGAGCGGGGGCTGAGTGTGGCAGATGAGGCAGCGGATGTGGGTGACGTTGCACTGGACCTAGTGGTATGTGAAGCCGTCACTGCTGCCGGAGGTGGTTGTATCGGTGCTTGAATCGGCGGCGACAGTATTGTTGGAGGCCTGCCGGGCAAGCGTGCACTGGTGCTCGTTGTCTGAACCGCCGAAACAGTAGTGTAGGTCAACTGCTTGGCTACGGGTGATACTGACGAGGTGGATCGCTGCCGTGCAGCTCTCGACTCCGTACTGGACAGAGCAGACGATGGCTGCGGGCCAAACGGACTGTACTCACCGGATGTACGTTGATGCTGATGATGACCACACGATTCACTGTGGGTTTGTACATCAACCTTGTACGTGCGACGTATGCGTGGGGATGAGCTGTCACCGTCAATGACGTGCGGTGCCGGCTTGCCTTTCTCGACCGGCACTCGTTTTGTCACGACGTTCTGCCGCCGGCCACCGGATGACTTGCTGCTGACGTTGGCATGCGCGTCGTAGGATGCTGCCTGCAGCGACTGGTTGTGGCGCTGGTGAAGGCTGGACTGGGTGTGCGACATGAATGAGGACATGGAGTCCTGTTTGACCGCGTTGCCGGATAGCTTTCTTGCACGCAGGTCTTTCAGCAGCACTGCATTGGCCTGGGCTGTAAAGGTACACAACAGGAAGAGGATTGCTCAGATTTCATGATAGTATCCGGTACCAGGACAATATAGGGGGGGGGGGGGGGGGGGGGGTAAATGCAATTTCGAAATGATTGGACTGAATGGATGAGAAAATGACAGATGCCAGGTGTTTGGGGTGCTATAAAGAAACATGGGGGGGGGGGGGGTATAAGTGGGTAAGACAAGCAAAGCAGAATACCATGCCGATGTGGAAACACAGTGAAACAGATCAATACAGTAACTTGACAACAAACAACACCATCAGCAACATGAGCTGAGCAGCATGACTTACCACGGCAGGGGTCGTGTTTGTTGAGGAACTCGTCAAGATTCTGCCACCCACCACCGACACGTACCATCACCAATGTGCGCAATATACGTACCATTCTAATCATTTCGGAATCGCCAAACTGCACACCACCACACAAACAACACACATGAACATGGAACACATTACCAAGTGAATGTGTATCTACTAAGTGTTCAAAGTACAGCAGCGCATGCCCGTGCCACATGCCCGGGCCACATGGCCGGGCCACATTGAAGCCTCGACAAGAAGAGTGCAGTTTCTTGTAGCTGATCCACCTTAGGGGGGGGGGGGGGGGGGGGAATCAAAATATTCTTGAAGCAGTTTGAGTGGTAGGTTTGTAATGGAAATTGTAGTGGGGTTGTATGGCGGTAGAGCTACAGTCCGCTACAAGTAACTACTGTCTTTACAAGTAACTACTGTCTTTACAAGTGGCCATTGCACACTGGCACACACTTTCGTCTTCACATGCAACAGTCACTGAAGCGCGATCCCCAGGCCATTTGGCCCAAACATTCACATGCTGAACACAGGTTGAACTATTTTAGGGGGGGGGGGGGGGGGGCAATGCCCTCCGTGCCCCTGACCGGATATGTGCCTGGACTACTAGATCACCAAATTGCCATCAACAATGCTGCCAGGAAAGATTATTTTGATAGTCCGCCATTATCCTCGAAGAAGGGGGTGCACTGGTACTAGTACTGTCAATAGAAGTGAAGTGATCCGTCACTGCCCCAAACTAATGGTAGTGTATTTCCGGGTTGACAATCGCACTTCCATTTCTCAAAATGGGCTAGAAATCTGCTCTGCGACATACATCCTAAACGTTCAGTCATTACTACTAACAATTACAAACTGAAATTATAGGTGATGTCTTGTCTACAAGAGAGGAGAGGAGGAGGAGGAGGAGGAGAAGAAGTAGGAGAAGGAGGAGGAGAAGGAGGAGGAGGAGAAGGAGCAGCAAAAGGAGGCGGAGGAGGAAGAGGAGGAGGAGGAGGAGGAAGAAGAGGAGGTGTATCTTTGACCTCGAGGGGGGGGGATATGTTGCTGAAGTCGCAGGTGCAATACACTTCAACTCCATAGCAACATGGGCATGGGAAAACGCTGCAATAGCAAACTGTGCATTCCTACACACAACGTACCATGTAGCGTGCATCTCCCGCTTGCTGTACACGGAATTGCTTGGCACACGTGCAATGAGATACTGCTAGACGGACCTGGAATTTAAAAAAGAAACACCCATGTGGCATCCACGACACACATACGTTGTCAAGATGAGTATTGTATACTTCATGCGTGGAATTCTATGGACAAATCCAGGATGAAAGTCAGAGTGAAAGTCAGGATAAGTATGTTCTGCTCATGCTGTAGGGGTATCAGTTGAACAGAAGTTACTGAACACAATAGAACCGAGGTGGTAGAAAAGTTCAGCCTGACTAGCTGCAATAAGACTCAGCATCAACCACGCAGTACAGGCCAGTGTTAGTAATTAAACTGGTCACTTACCTCTTGATCAACTTGCTCTGCTTCGTTCTTGGGCTTGTGTTTGAACTTCACCTGACGATCAGGTCGCAGGCTAGCCGCAAACGCCCAGTAGTCAATGATGCCATTGCCTTTTGGCTCAAACATGTCAGCGACACGACTGATCTCCACACGACTCATGGGATGGCCTGAAAATACATATAGCAGCAGCATGGCATAGCAGCATGGCATAGCAGCATGGCATAGCAGCATGGCATAGCAGCATGGCATAGCAGCATGGCATAGCAGCATGGCATAGCAGCATGGCATAGCAGCATGGCATAGCAGCATGGCATAGCAGCATGGCATAGCAGCATGGCATAGCAGCATGGCATAGCAGCATGGCATAGCAGCATGGCATAGCAGCATGGCATAGCAGCATGGCATAGCAGCATGGCATAGCAGCATGGCATAGCAGCATGGCATAGCAGCATGGCATAGCAGCATGGCATAGCAGCATGGCATAGCAGCATGGCATAGCAGCATGGCATAGCAGCATGGCATAGCAGCATGGCATAGCAGCATGGCATAGCAGCATGGCATAGCAGCATGGCATAGCAGCATGGCATAGCAGCATGGCATAGCAGCATGGCATAGCAGCATGGCATAGCAGCATGGCATAGCAGCATGGCATAGCAGCATGGCATAGCAGCATGGCATAGCAGCATGGCATAGCAGCATGGCATAGCAGCATGGCATAGCAGCATGGCATAGCAGCATGGCATAGCAGCATGGCATAGCAGCATGGCATAGCAGCATGGCATAGCAGCATGGCATAGCAGCATGGCATAGCAGCATGGCATAGCAGCATGGCATAGCAGCATGGCATAGCAGCATGGCATAGCAGCATGGCATAGCAGCATGGCATAGCAGCATGGCATAGCAGCATGGCATAGCAGCATGGCATAGCAGCATGGCATAGCAGCATGGCATAGCAGCATGGCATAGCAGCATGGCATAGCAGCATGGCATAGCAGCATGGCATAGCAGCATGGCATAGCAGCATGGCATAGCAGCATGGCATAGCAGCATGGCATAGCAGCATGGCAAAACATGTAAGTACAATGTACACAGACCCTCCGTGTGCAAGGCAGTTTGGGGTGCACCGTGCAACATCACGCATTATTCCTCTAGGGTTTCGGGAGAATATTGTTGTAGTGAACTCAGCTGATGCCGTCACCTCTTTGCATGGTGGTCTAGCACAACTACATGCCTGCCTACACGTTGATGGTACTGTAGCAAAAAAACATTACACGTAAGAGTTGTTTGAGCATAGCCAGCCTATACAGCAAAGATTCCTGGTTTGAGTCCTGGTGACAGTAAACTTTCGCTGCAGACTTTTCCATTTCAACTCCTCTACCAGTGAGAACGAGAGTGGATACGTGTCGTGCATTACTATACTCCGCCCAGCAGCAGACAAAGAGGTCAAATGACAAACTATTCCGATAACTGATTATTTTTACTTCCGTCTGGGCCAGGTAGGTCATAAACAGACGTGTTTTGCCTGTTCAGTTGTGTTTTCCTTCTCTTCAGATTGGTTGATATTATCTTTAGTCTTCTTGTAGACATATCACAGGCAGTAGAAGGTCACTATCCCAGGGGATAGTAGCTGAACAACAGTGCTTGTCACTTACCACATTTTTCCAGGCCTGAAACGAACGCCTCTCTCCGTAACTTGTCATCTGACCAGTTGAAGAGATCCAACGCACGGATGTTGTGCTCGTCCAGCCATCTAACAAACTATAATGAACACGGCAAGATTGGCACAGGCAAATCCATGGTCACATGTGCAAGTGACAACATGACGCAAATACCCACATGCACACATGCACACATTCACACATGCACACAGGTGCACATGCATACATGCACGTACGCTCGCATAGCGGGCCAGTCTTTGTAAGGATCACCCGAAAGACTAGTTACACAGTCAACCTTGGGAATAACAACAACCTCGTGTGTAGCAATAACCTTGTTCATAATACTCATTTCAACAATAGTCATTGAGTCACAGTCACTGAACACATGTGTGTGTGTGTGTGTGTGTGTGTGTGTGTGTGTGTGTGTGTGTGTGTGTGTGTGTGTGTGTGTGTGTGTGTGTGTGTGCGTGTGTGCATTTCAACCAAGGCAAGTCACTGCTGTACCTCGTCTCTCCAGGCATTGTAGTCAAAGTTCTTAGCTGCTTCAGCCTGCACATAACAGAACAACCGTCGAAACAGGAAAGAAACCGAACTCGAGTCAAATCCACAGCACAACTGCAGCCATTGGGCAGTAAGTAGAGTGTTATTGCATCGTAACCAGCTCAACAACTTGAAGCTCAATCACTAGCGCCCACAAAGCACTCTCACACATCTACAACAAAGACGCTCTTTCTTGATGTTACACATACTTTCATATTACAACAATGGATGAAGAAAAGAAGAGAGAGAAGAGAAAGTCATAGTTACGGTAAAAAAGTAGCCACAAGGTTTCACCAAGAAGACTTATCATAGCAGCAGTTACGCACAGATTTGTTTCAAGTTACTCACATCATGCAGCTGGCCTAGGACGTCTTCAAGGGAGCTCTGCCGTTGCGATGCTCGCAGCCACAGAAGCTTCCATTGACGCTGGAGCTCGCCTATGGCTTTCATTTGAGGATCTGTATCGGCAAAGGAGCGGTCCTGACGTCCAGCATCACGCAGTGCTTTGCTCAGGACATCCATGCGGGGCTGAAGATGGTGCATATCTTCTTGGAGAAGCTGTTTGGATCAACAATGCACACACAAGCCGACCGTAGTGTTCAATATCAACACAACACAATGATTGTACACGGGTACACACAGGTACACACAGGTACACACGGGTACACACGGGTACACACAGATACACACGGGTACACACGGGTACACACGGGTACACACAGGTACACACAGGTACACCCGGGTACACCCGGGTACACACAGGTACACACGGGTACACACGGGTACACCCGGGTACACACAGGTACACACGGGTACACACAGGTACATATGCAAGTAAGACTTTTTCGGACAAGCTTTTCACACACTCCACAGTCATGCATGTGCAGCGGGTACTGTACACACACACACCTTCACGTACCTTCACAACATCCAATTGAGCACGAACACCCGGCAGGTCACCTGAAACTGCCTCGGACTCGCAGTCGGCTAGTCGTGTGTCCACCGCATTGATGGATGCTTGCAACTCACTGACTGCATCCTGTAAGCCACGCAGGGCAAGGATTGATGCCTCGATGTCCACAGTTCGCTCGTTAGCCTGGTAGAGCACATCGCTACACTGTTGATCGAGTTCATCTAACATGTCGGACTGGGCGGTGCGGCGACCTTGCTTGTCTGCCGCCAACAGTTTGCGACCTCTCTCCAACAGGGCCCGCACCTCAGGGAACTTTGTATCTAGACCTGACGTAAACTCCTGCACACAGTCACAGACATTGACCAGAGCAGCAGCAACAGCAGAGCAATGCATGAAAGTAAGCTAAGGCTGTGTTTACGTGAGGCGTTTCACCCCGGGTTGAGTTTCAAACCGCCATGAACACAGATTGACTGGAGCGTTTACATGACGCATTGCACCTGACCCGGGTTGAAATCAAGAAATTGTACCGCCATACTTCTGTGCGTATGTCGTGCCAGGTTTGAACAGCACTGCACAGGCAAATTTTGCGCGAACGTATTCAAGTGACCATACAGGACTCTAGAAGTGCACTTTTGGCGGCATATCAGCATTTGACCCGGGTCAACTGTGTTCATGTAAACACCCACCTATTTTTCCATCGTACAGACTTTCGACCCGGGTTGAAAATTCCCATGTAAACACAGCCTAATACTCCTCCATGCAAGGCACACAATTGAATGGTACATACTAATGTTATAGCGATGTGTTTAGTTCCAAAGTCAATGGGCAAGCTGACAGGAAACACACCAAGCACAGCGTGCTCAGCAACTAAATGACCTGCTGTACATGTACACTGTCCGCACCTGAATCTCCTGGAGCTGAGCTTCCACAGTAGCCAAGTCCACGGAAGACACGGACCCCATTCCACTCAACTGTGACTGGGAATCGTTGAGCCAGTGCAGAGCTTGTTGAAGCTGGTCGTCAAGCTCCTTCACAGAGCTCAGGGAATCTGCCACACGTCGCTGTTGCAGTGACAGTTGCGACTTGATCTTCTCCCAGCGGAGATTCAGCTCGATAAGCTGCTCTTCCGTGACGAACGGATCATCAAGAACGTCCTTGACCAAGTGTCGGCCGGTGGTGTCCGCAGCTACATACTTAGGCTCCTGCTGCTTCAGAGCATCTGCCACTTCCTGCACAGGAAACACACACACACACACACACACACACACACACACACACACACACACACACACACACACACACACAAACACACGCACACAAACACACGCGCGCGCGCGCGCACACACACACGCACACACACACGCACACACGCACACACACACACACACACACACAAACACACACACACAAACACACACACACACAAACACACACACACAAACACACACACACAAACACACACACACACACACACACACACACACACACACACACACACATGAACGCACAGAATGTGATGGAATACACAGCTGGACTTGAATACCTGTTCTCCGCTCTGTGTTGGTAATACAATGTAGCAAACAGTATGGTTACTCGTACACCTAGCAGTTAATAGGAGGGTTTGTTGATTGATTTCATGTTGCTACTGTGCACAGCACCAGTAAGTATCAATATCTCAGCAATCACTGATTGTGCTGAGTGCAGGGTTACAAGGTGATACTTAAGTTAATACACAAACTCATAAAGGGTATGCATTTCTACAAGTCTCTCACTCACCTCCAATTCGGTAGCAATGGTGTGCATAGCGTCTATATCACCCAGAATAGGTCTATCGGGTGAGACCAGCATCTCCACTCCACTCATCCAATCCAGCATTGGGGAGAGGTGATTGAACACAAACACCTCTATCCGAGCTATGGCCGAGCGCAGCTTCTCCACACGCAGGCCTGCACGAAGCTGCAGTACTCCCCAGGCTGCCTGAAAGTCCTCGAGCGTGTCGTTGAACTGGTCTTTACGGGCCTGCTCGCACTCCGTGTGCAGCAAGAGGTTTTCTCCGGCACGGTGAACGGCCTCCACCTGTGGCGCAAACATGGTCGTCTTCTCGTGGACTTCCTGGAATGGACGTTATGTGTAGTGCACAGAACACAGCAATGGACAATGTGCAGTTAAGGTGGTCACATTCTTGAACGGATTGGTTAGCTGAGGTGACTGGACTCAAGGTCCGAGAGGAATGGCATGCCTCAAGGAGCCCTCGTTGCTCGTTGATGCCAGTGACTCTCTACTCGTCATGACAGATGTTATGGACTGCATCCATGTTATGTGCAATGTCACAGTTATAGATTACATGCATGCTGTGTGTGACGTCGGTATTAGATTATCGTAGCTCCTGTTGCCATGCACGTAGTTACTATTGCTATGCAGTCTCTGTGTCCAGAGTGCGCGCATGTGTGCAATGTGCTTCTCCTCGGATCTACGTTGGTCTCGTGTTCTGAATGTCTTTCCTCTCTGGTTTTACCTTTACTTCAATCTTGCCTTTCAATGTAACGTATTTCTAAACTCTCCGATTCATGTGTATCAGTGGAACTGTGTATGAGTAGTGTGCGGGCTGAGTGCGAACCACAAGAAAAGAGAAGCAGGAGGGGAAGAATAGGGAGAGTTGAAGGTTTGATGGATAGTAGTGAATTAGAAATACTGGAAGACCATGCGATTGGGTCTCACTGCTAGCACTGCAACCACATATATGCTCTCAACAGTTTGTCAAGCAGCGATATATCAGTAGTGTATCCTAAAGCACGTCTACTATAGTTCAGACAACGTCGTGAGCTTGCTAGCATTCCGGTAGTCTAGCAAAGCCTTGCTTTCTCCAGCTAATCGACTATCCGGCCTCGAGGGCATGTTGTACATTGCATGCACACAACAACTGAACTGCACACGAGTATTGAGCGTGGCGAATTCAACCAAAGTTCAATGCAGCTATGTGAAAAACAAGCCAGACAAGGTAAATTCCGAGGAGCTGTGCCCAATGGTATCTAGAAGACTGAGGTCAAAGTGTACGAGTGCAGTACATGTTGTGCATGTGAGGAGCCTGACCTGAGTAGCCACCAGCATCTGCTGCGAGTCCTCCAGGCTACCTGTGAGCGGCTCGGGGTGGAGGATGTTCACCTCAAGGGCACTCTTCTCGTTCACCAGGTCGGCAAACGGATGCTCAAAGTCGGTGGCCGCGTGCAGAGCCTTCTGTACCTTCTCCAGGCGAGCGGCTATGCATGTGGCCTGCTTGTTGAAGCTGGCCTGGATCCGATCCATCTCCTGCTGGACACGACCAGACGCGGCGTGCGACTGATCCATCAAGTCCTCTGCGGCCACCCACAGTTCCTGTAGGTCAGCTTTCTGCAGAGCCATCGTATCACTCATGGCCTGGAATGAAAGTTTAAAAAATGAGATCGAGGAACACGATGAGGTGACGCTTTGTACAGAAGGTACAGCATCAGTAGAACACTTGAACTTGCAACCATATGTGATCGAGCATGAGCTAGGAGTAGATTCAATCTTACATGCAACCCTTTAACATGTACCGGCTGCAGATAAAGGCAATGGGGATTGGTAACAAGCAAGCAGGTGATCTTAGCCATTACCAAGCTTGAAGGAGGGGGGGGGGGGGGGGAGGGCATAAGAGAGAGGGAGAGAGAGGAGGATAACGACCAACACCAGCCTAGTGTTGCAGAATCGCTCCACATGTACAGTCAATCTGCAAGATCTTTTACCTGCACATCCAGGAAGACTGCCTCAATTTCTTTGTGAGTCAGGCCAATGGGTGCACTGTTCATCTCCTCAAAGTCCTTCAGCCACTCTAAGAATGGCTCAAGCTTCTCCTGGAAGCCAACAGCATACTTGGCAGCTGTCTCCATCTCGCCCAAGCGTTGCATGGCCTCTCTTTGCAGTTCATGCCAACGCAGCACTATGTCTTCAACCTACAAGTGTAGTTAACGCACAAAATTGCAAACAACAACAGCCCTTTTAACCGTACAGAATGAACTACGGCAAATCGAGAATTTTTTGGCCACGTCAAATTTGAGCCCGGGAGAGTTATGGGGTTTCAGACCAATTTCGAATTTCAATCTGCATAGGCTTTGTTGTACACACAGGTTTTGCTGTATTCACACAGTATGCTGCTATTCAGCCCTATTCAAAGCCGGACCAGGCCTGAATATGCTGGAACAAAGCCGAAAATTAAACAGTCGCAATCTAGAATAGTCAAGTGCTACAATTTGCTGGTCTAAGCGGTATGTGTGTTTGCGTGGATGATAGGGATAAGGATAGGCTACACAAGATGATGCTCAGAATGGTGACCTGATTCCCAACGAATCCATGACAACTTTGGTAAAATGGCGCACCGAGCCAATCACTACGTCGAGTGCTCGTATGCTCCTCCATTGTATAGACACAGCAGTAGCGTGGCAGTGCAGCGGGGTGTGGTACCACCAGGGGTACGCAGGGCACCGGGGTGTGGTACCACCAGGGGTACGCAGGGCAGCGGGGTGTGGTACCACCAGGGGTACGCAGGGCAGCGGGGTGTGGTACCACCAGGGGTACGCAGGGCACCGGGGTGTGGTACCACCAGGGGTACGCAGTGCAGCGGGGTCTGGTACCACCAGGGGTACGCAGGGCAGCGGGGTGTGGTACCACCAGGGGTACGCAGGGCACCGGGGTGTGGTACCACCAGGGGTACGCAGTGCAGCGGGGTGTGGTACCACCAGGGGTACGCAGGGCACCGGGGTGTGGTACCACCAGGGGTACGCAGGGCACCGGGGTGTGGTACCACCAGGGGTACGCAGTGCAGCGGGGTGTGGTACCACCAGGGGTACGCAGTGCAGCGGGGTGTGGTACCACCAGGGGTACGCAGTGCAGCGGGGTGTGGTACCACCAGGGGTACGCAGGGCAGCGGGGTGTGGTACCACCAGGGGTACGCAGTGCAGCGGGGTGTGGTACCACCAGGGGTACGCAGTGCAGCGGGGTGTGGTACCACCAGGGGTACGCAGTGCAGCGGGGTGTGGTACCACCAGGGGTACGCAGTGCAGCGGGGTGTGGTACCACCAGGGGTACGCAGTGCAGCGAGGTGTGGTACCACCAGGGGTACGCAGTGCAGCGGGGTGTGGTACCACCAGGGGTACGCAGTGCAGCGGGGTGTGGTACCACCAGGGGTACGCAGTGCAGCGGGGTGTGGTACCACCAGGGGTACGCCGTGCAGCGGGGTGTGGTACCACCAGGGGTACGCAGTGCAGCGGGGTGTGGTACCACCAGGGGTACGCAGGGCAGCGGGGTGTGGTACCACCAGGGGTACGCAGGGCAGCGGGGTGTGGTACCACCAGGGGTACGCAGTGTACCCTTGGGTGAAAGAATCGGATTTTTCGGCCAACAGGGCACGTTTTAGCGCTCTACAGGTGCTTTGGGCAGAACATCCTGGACGAAAAGTGATACGCCCATGGTCATACTGGTCGTACCGTGACGCCCCTGCAAATCGTATCGACAATTCCTGCACTCTGTTCAAGTCTAGAATTACCTGTTTGTCAACCGTTGCATACTCGTCGGGATCGCAGACTTTCTTCACGTCCTCGGCCGCCAGCTGGATGCCATGCAGATCGGGCTCTTTCGTAGCAAGTTCTTGTATGATGGACTAGTGATAGGAAATACACGCACACAAACAGTGGCTCAAAAGGAGAAGGACCAAATGGTGTGAGTTATGGCTAACTCCCCACCAACAAAACCAGACCATACACAGTCAGTGAGTGTGACAAAAAATGGACAGTTAGTCAGAACTCGTACCATTTATTGTCCTTCTCTTTTTTCATCTAAGATTACATTGGCTCAGCATCCGAGTTCAATCATTGAAACAATGGCAAGTGCATATACTTGTACATGTACTGCTGAACCAAACCTATCCAGAATAACACTGGATTGCTACAGAATAACACTGGATTGCTACAGAACAACACTGGATTGCTACGTAGAATGAACAGATCAACACCAACTTTATATCTTCACAACATTAATCAATTACAGGGCACCATCCATGGTCATTCACTTTTATTCCCGTAGCTATGCAGAAGACGTTACTTCAGTAACGTCTGGCGCTAGCCAGGGTCCACACAGCTTTAATTTGGTATTTGTGTGTTTGTTTGTTTGTTTGTTTGTTTGTGTCACGCCTGGTGCTATCCGTATCTGACGGCAAAAAAGCATAGGATGTTATAAATTTTTCAATTCTCCTTTTTTTTTTCAGGCATATCCTGGGATTCGAACCCGCACTATCGCCCTACATGCATTCCCCCATACACTTCGCATTCATACTCATTCTTCGAAGTTGCTTCACGTTATTATCTTGCGTTTGAAAGCCCTATTTGAATATTGCGGGCAGCTGTATGTGGCCAGCTGTGTTTGATGGTATGGTACGGTACGGGAGACGGTGTCGTATTACCCTCGATCGTACCTGTCCCGTACCTATCCCCTACCGTACCGTGCCATCAAAGACGGCTGGCCACAATGCATATTCAAATAGGGCTTTCAAATGCAAGATCACAATGTGAAACAACTTGGAAGAATTAGTATGTATGCGAAGTGTATCGGGGGATGCATGCAGGGCGCGCGATAGTGCGGGGTCGAATCCCAGGTTATGTCTTAAAAAAAAAGGATTTTTTTAAAGAATTTATAACATCCCTATGCTTTTTTTGTTGTCTAGGTCATCAAGGCAAAAAAGCATAGCGTAGGGCCCTGAGCTTCCAAGCTCTCTCGTTGGGAAATTAGGAGGCTAGAAACAGGTAGCATGATATTCGACAAATTGTTCTTTTTGCGGATGGTCCCCTAGTCCCCTAGTCCCCTAGTCCCCTAGCACGTACTTCTAGTTTAAACCAAAACAATGCGTTAACAACACCATTGAATGTGGCTAGCCAGGGCTCATACATAAGAATGTGTGCCACACTTACATCTTCTTTCATGTCTATAGTTAGCCAGGAATTTACGATTATGAATTTATGATTAGAACGCTGTGTATGTTGTTACTAACACCCCCCCCCCCCCCCTCCTCCTCCCTTGCCCCACCCCCTCCCCAGTCCCTCCCCTGCAACCACACACATACATAGCCGCTATAACACCCTGATGGACTGCTGACGATCAAGGCAGTGGAATAGGAATGCCCAGGCAGCCTCGGAAAGTGCTGGACGACCTACTCCTAAGAAAGTGATGGATTTACTAGGATGGTTAGAGAAGTCATTGGTAAGCTTCACGATGGATCAAACACACTCAAACCACACTCAAACCACGCATAAACACACTCAAAACACACTCAAACCACACACAAAGAAACCACTACTGGCACAAATGAAATGCAGTGGATTACACAGATCAGCAGGTTACCAATACAGCACATGAAGTAGCCAACAATACAATTAGTATTACCATCAGAGCATTCACAGATAGGTTTGGTTTCTTGCTGCTGGAGCTGGGGACAAGGTCGTGTTCTCCATTAACATTGTCCTTCGACATCAGTACAATGAAAGGAAGCAGGGCAAACGGACAATGAGAACACAAAGTACAGAGAAAAACATCACCTACACTAGTCTACTAGTTGGGCATGCATTGAACCTTCAAGCGGTAATGTCAGCCAGAGAAACCCGTTTTAATGAGCTCCACTTAACACAGGCAGTGCTCATCTTCTCTCCCTTGGTCAGCCTTTTACCAGCCTTGTACTAGAGTTACGCATCCGGTCCAAGACTGGCTTGCACGCGCACATTCCGTACACACTGTGGCAATTACACATGAAGCCTAACTACCAGTTTTCATAGCCTTTCAAAAAGAACGTAGTTTAGAAATTCATGATTCTCGTCGATTTTTACAGTTTTCACTGCCGTGTGTGTGTGTGTGTGTGTGTGTGTGTGTCTGTGTGCTTGTGTCATAATTAGTGGTGTGCACGGGTAGTCGGGTACCCGTGCTACCCGTGAGGACCTTGGGTAGACGGGTACCGAATCGTACCCGAAAACCCGATGACATCATGTAGAAAGAGTAAAGAGAGAGGTCTACAGTGCACAGTGCACGTGTACAAATAACTCACGCATGTCTACCCAGTGTGTAAGGGAAGGGGCCGGTGTGCATTGTGGTCTTACCATGGAAACATTACCCGATCGGGTACCCGTGCTACCCGTGGAAAACTACCCGGACCCGATACCCGAAGAAAATGCTACCCGACTCAGCCCTAGTCATAATGGCAGGTGTAACGCAATGTATAATCAAATATACAGACATGCACCACATACTCCTATATTCACACACAGAGATCATTGCTATGCTGTACATATACAACAGGTTTAGCTTTAGCATAATTATACAGAACAGATGCAAGCACACCTGGCATACACTTGCATGCATGTCTGCATACACAATTACCATGGACACCAAGGTAAGCGTACACATGTACAAATGCACACATACCCACACACGCACACACGCACGCACGCACACGCACACACACACACACATGTGTGTGCATGCACACACGCATCTATGCATGCACACACACGCACACATACCCACTTAAACTTACTGCAGACAATGACTGTGGCCTCACTGCTTCATCCTTCTGCACCAAGAGTTTCTCCATTTCGGCAAACGGTTCTTCAACATCCTGTTGCACATGTAAATCAGATATATATCTAAAGTTTCTGATTCTGTTCCAGCTGCACCCCACTGTGGTGAGTGATTCCTTACGAATGCCACAGATCGTTTGGATTGTATCTCGACCGTTGCCTTGTAACGGCTGATGAACGCGTTTACATTTTTCATTTCCATACTACAATACCTACACTGAGTGTTGCGAGTTGACAATAGCAGTGCTATCATCCAAACTGTACGAGTAAGCACAATGTGTGCATTCCCTCGGAGGCAAGAAAGAACGAATTACTTAACAAAAGTCAAATCAATTCGTCATTATGAATTATGAACCCCCTATATTGATGCATATGTGCATGTACATACAGATGTGCATGTACATACACACACCTGCATGTGGTCCATGGTGAGCTCTACACGTATACACACAGCACACGGAGCGTGCACACCGTGTAGGAGTTACGCCTGTGTGATGTGACCAATTTAGGAGCATCACGTTTACCTTGCACTTCTGATCAAATACGCGGGCGACACGCGTCGCATCTTCCAGGTGCTTCTGCTGGGCGTCAATGTCCTTCTTGATCTGCTCGAGCAGACCCTGCAGCTCATCACGTCTAGCCTGGATCTCCTCAGCACCTTCACGTGATGCACCATCAACCGGCTGCAGCATACTGTCAGCCAGCTGCAGCACGGCTGCTATCCTGTCGTCCAGGTCAGTTACCTGCGACTGCAACGCCTGCAATGCGCCAGGAGGGAAGACAGATAGGGCAAACGTCACGGCCCCACTGTATTGGCAACCCAATGATAATACTGGACTTTAGTATGCTGCTGGCGTTTGTTTTCTAGTATATGTAGAATCAGCTTGTCTGGCATGTTACGCAGAACTCTGTAGTTCAATCATCCCCTGGCTTTTGAAAACCCAATTTTGGCCGAATTGAGGCTCCAAACCCACATTCAAAAATCTGGGTTTTACCCATTGGATTTCCTGGCCTGATTTTGTAAAACCTGGTAGAATTTCTAATTCCCTGTCCATGCACTTCTCTGGCCTCAAATGTTACAAGGCAGAACTGCATGGGTCAGACAATGCAGGATACCGTACTGTCGCTTTCACAGTTTCTACAACTATAACGTGGGAGACACCGAAAAGTTAGGTAACTATACTTTTGGATGAATGGATATGAGTCGTATGAATGCATACAATTAGAAGCAAGCCTTATCACTGCCTGACGAGGAAGCCACGAGTGTATCTGTTATACAGTATTGCTCAATGAAATCCGATCGCGTGAGTCAAGTTTGCGCCTTGCACCATTTTGTAGCCCAGTGTCTGCAGGCCTAGTGCTACGCAACGCAACTTCTGGCACATATACATACATCACACGCACACACGGACAAGCCAGTATAACAGTTACCTCCGTAGCTTGCTGTTCAACCGCTAGCTGTTCCAATGATGCGGGTGGCTGCTTCAGGAGATAAGCCGACGACCCTTCGGCAATGTCCGAAAGCTTTTCCACCATCTCGTCCGATCTGATGCCAAACTCTTCAGCAGTTTCCAGGCCATTTCTATATTCTTCCTGCTTTCCTTCTACTGAGCTCTCCAACGACTTGAGGTCTTCTTCTGCCTTTTCCAGCCGCTGTTGAAGAGACTCATCCGAGAGCATTCCTTGGCACTTGCTTGAGACTTCAGATAATGACAACTCTCCAACAGCCAGCTCTTTCTTGGTCAGCTGTAACAACATTAACACAGGGTGCAGATTATGCATTGGAACCAGCGTGTGCAACTGCCTGCCACCATGGTGAGAGAACAGATATCCTCAGCACCTGCGGAAATGTTAGGCATTTTCATGCCAGTACACACATGCACACTCACCCCCCCCCCCCCCCCCCCTCCATCCACACACACACACAAGTACAGAGACATGCATTCTCCCAGGACGAATTGGGTGGGTCAACGTCTTTCGAAATAAGGTCCGGCCGGACCTGCCGGACCGGGTGCTACGGGCCTGTTGGGCACTTGCAAACCAGACAGTAAGAGGAAAGGCAAGGACGATCAAGAGGAGTTACTTTACTCTGTAAACATTGCACATGTACCTACCTCTAAGTCAGACTGTTGCTTCTGCAGAATAGCCGTTGTACAGCCAGCTACTGGAAGCTTATCAATGCACGCTCTAGTGGCCTTCACCCACTTCTCCAGCTGAGCTATGTCGCCCGTTGTTGCTGTCGCATACTTCAGGGCGTCATCTAGTTCTTGGCGTCGTTTCTCTAGCAGCGCTGTTGCGTCCAGCCATTTTTGCTCGACAAGCGATGCTTTCTCACCGACTGACGTTCCCGCGGCTTGTTTGGAGTGCCGGCCCTTCTTCTTGGCTTCAGCAATGCGCAGGGATGATTTCCAGAGGGTGGTTTTATCAGCTTCACGACTGGCAATGCCATCACTGATGGCCTGAAACACAAATAGATGCATGGGTGTGATACATGATGAGCAGAGAAAATGCTATGCCTGAAAATACTTTCTAGTTTGCAGCGAATATGTTGAATACGGCAAGTCATGATACGGTTACAATTGACTTGAAACTAGACTCATTGCTAATTCTGATAACTGGCTAATTGCTGATTATAAATACTTGCAAAAAAGAAAAGGACCAAGGAACTACAAGTTACGCTATAATGTCCACTGACAAACCAATACCTACTAAACAATCAGCTCATGCTAAGATAGCACGACACTGACCGACGGTACTGACGTTCTACAACTAACTGGCTATCAGCTCTAGCACATTTTCTTTTCTATAAATTTATCCTCGGCTCTCCATCCGAGTCCATAAATACTTGCAGTACTACTAAGGCACCAGGTTGGTTCAGCCTCCATCACATCGTATTGTACTCTTGTCCAGTCCTATCCACCCGCTCTGCATGCATGTAGTGTACGCACGGAACTAGTTTGCTACAACATTCTCTGATTACCATGATATGTGTAAGGCTATCACTAAATGCATTTCTGCTTGAAGGTGTGCACAAATTTGGTCGTCTACTCACTTCAAGGGAGTGTAACTTCTCTTCAAAGGCAGACATGGTCTCTCCTGATACACAGCGGGCATCATCTAGTGACTTCAGTTGCTCGTCGAGCCAATCGCTGAGTGTCTGTGCTGTGCCCTCGAACTGGTTGACGTTTTCAAGCTGTGCCTCCACGTCCGCCAGCGCTGACTTTGCCTCCTGCAGCAGCTTGTCATACTGTGCTTGGGACTTGTGAATGTTGCTTTGCACCTGTGTGTGTGGGGACAAAGAGGGAAGAAACAAATTTGTACTTCGAACTGCTGATTGCTGGTTGTGGAGAATGCATTACTTGGTAGAAGTCTAGGGCATGGAAAAGAGACGCACATGGTTGAAGTATGCATGTACCGTTAAATCCCGCCAGAGCGCCCCCCCCCCCCCCCCCCCCCCGTCTCTCCCATCTGCCCCTCCCTGACTTCTTGTCAGGGAAGTGATAGATTGTATCCTCGTATGACTCTGTGATGCCGTACTGCACTGCAGACGAGTGCTCGACCCCGTTGGAAATGTACGCAACAGTGCCCACCTTTTTGACCAGGGATCGCACACACCCTGAGTTTTGACGGGTCTGTACGACTCCTGGCTCTTGATTTTTGGTTGGTGTACGACTCTACGAGATGCACGAACAGTTTTCGTAGGGCGAGTACTTTTTCATGCAGTACTGAATGCGGCAAGTAGGACTCGCCCATCCGCCCCTCCCCACCTGAACCTACTCGATGCGTCGAGGAGGTAGGGGCGCTCTGGCGCGATTTTATGGTACATGTACATGTATGTGTATGTGTATGTGTGTGTGTGTGTGTGTGTGTGTGTGTGTGTGTGTGTGTGTGTGTGTGTACATGGTGTGTCTGTTTTTGAGTCTCTCTCCCCTCTCCCGGGGAGACTCACGTGATCAGTTTTGGCAGTGAGCAACAAGTACATGTACCGTAAAGTACCGCCAGAGTGCCCCGGCTCGCGAGAGCCCCCACCTTGATTTTACAGCCAGGGAAAGGAACATCGTATGGCAGAGTGCAACGAAGTTTGTACGGTGTTAGAACCTTAGTGTACTAAGGTCACCCTTAGCAGGTTTTTGTGTGGAGCTCGTGTCCGCTCAAAGGCACGGATTGTCTGCAGAACGTGCAATATGTGCACAAAGTTTGTGTCGTATGACTTACAGACAGGAGACCACCTCCACAATACGACCACGAAAGGACGAGATGGTGGGGTGCTCTGGCAGTACTTTACGATACAAGTGTGTGCACATTAGTGCGCATGTGTGTGTGTGGGGGGGGGGGGGGGGTATATTACGCTGCACTGCACAATGCATTCACAACAAATTGAAGACATGACAGTCGATGTGTCAGATTATTCCACATCTCCACTAGTATCTAAGATTGCGGGAATAATATCCTACAAGACCGCGGCTACACACCAACATAACCTCACCGTTGCCATATCGCTCTCCTGTGCACCATGCTTGTCAGCAAAGTCCAGCAAAGATTGGCTGGCAGCTTGTGCCTCACTAACAGATGATTGCTGATCTTCAACCGTGGCTATCAGGGCCTGAAACGAAGATAGAGAGAAGAAGGATTCCAGACAGTCAGTCAGTAACGGAGGGGCCACAATGGAGAGAGAACGAGATTGGAAGATAAAGAGAAAGAGAGAGAGAGAGAGAGAGAGAGAGAGAGAGAGAGAGAGAGAGAGAGAGAGAGAGGGAGAGAGAGAGGAAGAGAGAGAGAGAGAGGGAGAGAGAGAGGAAGAGAGAGAGAGAGAGGGAGAGAGAGTGATGACTGTATGATGGAATCAGTACACAACTGACTATGTGAGCATCCGTACCAGTAGCCATGCCCAGTGTACGTTACAAGCGATACAGTGCAGTCAGTGCATCTAAACACCTTGCCATGCGCACACATGATTCCACTTCTAGGCTAACCAGACGCAATGATTGGGCAAGGACAAGGTGCAGGCAAGTATTGATAGAATTAGGCCTTGGGGCACCTGTTCCAGGATCCAAGTAAAGCCTGTTCATTGCCAAGACAAATAGATTAGTGACATGATCAACGCATGCAGTAGATCACATTAACGCTACTGACCTTCAGATCCCCCGCTTGCTGTCCAAGCAGTGAACGATTGTCACTGATCTCCTCAGTAATACCCGAGAGACGATCGTCGCTTTTGGACAGCCACTTGGAAACGCCGGAGCTGGCCATCTCATGAGCACTGACAAGGGATGCCGCTGTGTCGAGTGTTTGCAAGCGCTGCTCCAATTCAGCGCCTGTTCCGGCAATCAGACTCTCCAGACCCCCGAGTTCACCCAGTGCGGGGTCGACCACCATGCCATTTACTCCATCACCGCGCAGTCTTTCAAGAACGGCCGCAAGGTCATCGCGCTGGATCTTATTGGATTCCACCGCACGGGCCAGGTCCTGTACATTCACAATAAGAACGAGGCAAAGGAGGCTAAACACTGCTATTTCTACATCGAAGCACAACTCCAGTCACTACATAGCTTCTGAGCCGAACTAGTTCTATTGCGGCACTGCTGCAGATCTAGAAGCAGGACAGATCTGGAAGCAGCACAGATATAGAAAGCAGCACAGATCTGGAAGCAGCACAGAGAAAGCATGATAACGGGTACATTCAGATCTTATGCCTCTAGGTCTGCCTGCCGTCATCAGCTTCAAGACAGTGGCAAACAAAGTCAGAAGCAAGGCTTCAGGTTGCTGGTTCGAGTCCCACGTGATCAGGCTTTCGACGCCATCGACCCGTGCAAACCGCAATTACATGTGCTTGATTGGTCGGCATTGCTAAACAACTCGCTGTCACACCTGCTTCAGGCATGGCATTCACACTGCGGTAGACCTTCCTACCATGCCATTGCTTCAAACAATACTGGTCGTTCTTCTCACCTGAGTCCTATCTTGCTGTGCCTTGATGCTAGTGACCGTTAGTGGCAGAGCAGTAGCAGTCACAACAGACTTGCTATCGTGTTCGCACCTCTCGCTGTCTGTCTTGATCTTTCCCAAAGCATTCTTGAAGCCATTGCCAGCCTGCACAAAGGAGATCAACACGGCAAGACAACAAATAAATTCCATATGACGGTATCAGTTTTGACACACACCTGCTGGAATAAAGATAGTCATCATGCTTCAGGGAAATGCAATCTCCTGCTGACTAGTAATGCCAGGACAGGCTACAAAGACACAAATTAAATGAAAAAAAAGAAAGAAAAGAGGCTCAAGAGGGAATTGAACCCTCGATCTTCGGTTTACGAGACCGACGCCTTACCACTTGGCCATTGAGCCACATATGCATAGATGTAATGCCTTGCTGCCTAGGAACACTATCCGTTGAAGAACCTTTCTCTCCAGTGTTCATCATTCATTACTGAACTGCTTCCTTGGTAAGAAAAGAGAGGGGAGAGTCTTTTAAAATGAATAGCGTAGTCCCTCACCAAGAGATTGCAAAACAGGAGAAGGACAGTTGGAATATCAAACACTACGCTGACTATACACGAGCTATGCGCCTGGAACGCTGGTGCATGCATCACCTAGAATGCACTCTCATCCATATCCTATACGCAGTGCACATTATGTACTCACAGCCACGTTTAGAGCTTGATATTGATTGAGCAATGAGCTAGCAACCATCTCATAGCCCTCCTTGTCCATCAGATCTCCATAGTCATCGCCGAGAGCCGATGCCTGTGTAGAGGCTTCAGTGATGGCTTGCTCCTGTGCTCGGACACCGGTGACAAATGCCTGTGGAAGAGTGCGGATGCAAAGATAGAGGGAGATAAGAGTGAGCTATATAGCTAACTGCATCTCTGATCAGCAGTCAGTATACCAGGCTAAGCTGCAACATACGGCACACGTGTTGTACACATGATCAGCCAAAAGCTGCGGACATACTTGCATGGTCTTCTCCTAGCACAGCCCGTTCCGGGAAAGAACAACTGCACTAGCAGTCTACTGAACAGCTGACACATTTACCATCAGTATCCTTAGGCAAATCAATGCTATTTAAGATGATCTGCAGCTCATGGAAGGCTGAACTAGACTGGCTGCCCGGTCCTCCACGCAGGAGCCAGTTCCCACACTGACGGTGTGTACACTAACCCCTGGCACGCTGGCACAGTATTCTCACCTCCAGCAGGTCAGCATTGGACGTGGGCAGTGCTGCAATGTAGGCCTCCTTCTCGGACAACCACGGATTGAGACTCTCCACGGTGTCGAGAAAGACGCGGCACTCGCCAATGGCCTTCTCCCTGCGTGGATGTACAGTGGAAACACCAGGGTATATGTACGTCAGTGGGAAGATGATTCTACGCTCGTATGATTCCCATGAAATTCCGTAGTATACCCAGAGTCGGATTGCCAAAGGACTGGGTTAGGTGCGCGCAGAAATACACTGATAATGGGATACTTGGTGGAAACCAAGAAACAACAAATCAACTCTAGAAAGCAGGTGGAATCATACTGCAAGAAACAGCCATGTATTTAACAACCCAGTCATTTTAGCACTAGCCCTAATAAATCAACTCAAGTTCATGCATACCGTCTGCTTAGCGTTGCCTCCAGATCCTTGCAGTCTTGCTGTAGCTTGCTCAGTGAACGTTTCATTGCTGGACTGCTGGCAGTGGATGAAGAGAGCGCCACCGCTTTTGTCTGCACAGACGCCAGCTGACGATTGGCAGCCTACAGCATACAGCACACAAGCCAAACGTCACAATGGTCAACACTACAAAACAATTGAGTACAGCCACTAATAAAAATCGGGGCTAAAGCAAAATCACTAATTCCAATGCCAAGATGCTGCCGATCTCCGTGCATTTGGATTTGGTGGAGGGTGGATGCAGTGTGAGTGAATAAAACGCACCCAAGCTCATGAGAAGGAGCTGTATGAGGAGGAGGAGGAGGAGGAAATATACCACATTTTACCAGTATCAAGAACACACTAACAGGATCAGAACGGTCATCATACCTTTAAGTCTTCTATTTGCTTGGTCAGCTGAATCTTATCAGAAGAGAGTGATCCCAAGGTCTCACACAGTTCGCCGACTTCGCTGATCTCCTCATGGAGGCCTTCCACTGTTTTGTTCAGGTCCTTTGACACGTTCAACGTGGCTTCCAGCTCAGCATGACTCGCCTGCATCCTGTTGTTCAGCTCATCCCACAGCTTCTGCAAGTCGGCCAGCTTGGCATGCAGGGCCTGCACCCCCGGGCCAGTCTCCGTATCTAGTGCCTCTGCATTTAGAACAACTGCACCGCGGTGTGCGGACAGCTTGGCGATGGCTTCTTTCAGGGAGTCCAATGCCACGCTGTGCTTGTCAAGAACACTGCGTCCCGATTCCAGAACTGCGCTCACTTTTGGTGCCTTCTCACTGAGCACCTTCACAGCAGCCTGCGTACACACACATTCAAACACACACCTTTGACCTTTGCACTTTGACCTTTGATGCCCAGCAAAAGCCATAGCAACTTGCGCTGGGATTGCACCACTCAACAGTTTGCAAGGCTGAAGAATTGACCGTCGCTATTCAGCCTGGTCTACACCGCACACCTATGTCTAATGGCTTTTTCTGGCCAGTATAAAATCCCCCAAAAAACACACACCAACTCACTTGTTATCAACAATTGTGAAGACTGCAAAGCATACTGCACATCAACACACAATGATGATACTTAGGAATGGACAAAATCGGACACTTCCCCGTATAGTTCCATACTCACCTTTGTTGCGTCAAGCTGCTCTTGCAACAGAGCCGGAGCTATTGAACTTTTGTCACCATCAACACTGGCGTCCTCGGATGCCTTCGCTTTCAACTCCAGTAAATTTGCCATCAGTGGTGCAAAGATGGCATCAAAGCTGTCAACATGAGCCTTCATTGTCTGTGCGGGCAGGATGGGATAGATATGATACAAATTGAGAGTATAGATATGAAACGTTACCAAGAGGGATGTAGTGCAGATGAAACCCCTGCCAACTCCAATAGTGACAGGAATGTTAAGGTAGCTCAGGCCTACATCGCCAAAAAATATCGGACGACAAAAACCATTTTCTGTCCGATTTTGTTCAAATTTTTAGTGTATGATGAATCGTTCCCTATATCTGGGGCCTGTGAAAGCCACACCCATACGTTCGCATTTATGCCACGAAATAAGAGAAAAATCTAATTTTACAAGCAGGAGTTCGCTTTTCATTTTTTTAGGCAGGCTTGTACCAAACTATGGTATAAGTACATTTCAATTCTTTTTCGATAGTTCAGGACCACTATTATCACAAACTGTTGAGACAAATACACTGGAATCAATTACGAGGGATGATCATTTCTTCGCATATTTCTGTAAACAGTGGGTAAACGAGTCCAATGACCTAACATCATTTTGACATCACTTTTTGATACTGACATAGTGCGCTGAGCGATAAAGGTACGTCTGTGGCTTATTTTTGAGTGCTCCTCGTACATTTTTGATCGTGATAGAAATTCTCAGACCAAAGTCAGACCAAAGTCAGTATCGTGATGGTGAAGTGGAGAGGGTGATTTTCTTCCTCTAGGCTTCGTTCGGCCGACTTTGCTTCGTCCTCGTTGAAAAGTGATCCTGAAAAAAGGTCGATTCGCAAAATTATGTTGATTTTCAATGTACGTGATGACATGCGGTTGCTGGCTATGCAGTGTATTTTTGATGGTAAATCTACCCAGATATGTTCTGAAACTATGGGAACTACTGACATGATTACAGGAAGCAACAGATGAAGGTTGCAAGCATTTTAATGTCATCAATGCAAACTTGTCTCTTTTTTAGAAAACGCCTTGTTCGGGCTACTTCGAGGGTTCATAACCCCTCCAAAGTGCCCAATTACATATCCTAATATATTGATTTTCTCATTCTGGACACCCCTAGGATTGCAAAAAAAAAAAAGGTGTCAAACTGGTGAATTTTCGGAAAAAGTATTTCGGCAAGAGCTACCTTTTAAAACAATGCAGTGCCCAGTACTGGTGTAATGAAACAGTAGAACTGTGTCAGCATGTACATGTATGCCACTCTGGCTGCGGTCATGTGACTATGTCAGCATGTACATGTATGCCACACTGGCTGCGGTCATGTGAAAGTCAAGCAATACAATTCGCAGAAATAATTTCCTTTCTGTTTTCACAAAAACCTTTAAGCTGGACGCTAAATGTAAAAGCATAATTATTGTACGGAATCGTTAATTTTTAACTTTCACAATGCAAATCTCATGAACAAAGAACAGTCCACATGATACTAGGCATAGATTTTGATATTCTACCCATCTATACTCACCGCTAACTCTCTAATGCGCACAACGCAGGATTGAGCTGCAGCTTGGTAGCGCTTCGGCACTCCAATGCATTCTTTCTGCACCCAGCTGGCCGATCCATCTGCAACAGCATCCTCAGCAATTCCCAGCACATCGATTCTCACGGCACCGTCGGTTTCGTCGCCTTTGCTCTGCCGGTCCACTACAAACCGTTCGGCAGGGATATCGCCAAGGCTGATTGTACCGGACAATGCGCTGGCATTGGAGCCCACCGAGCCAACAAGGGCGTCGGACTGTTGCGTGCGCTCAGACTCCTGCTTGTGAGCTTCCTCCTTAACCACATCACCAGTGCTGGCGTTGGTTTCCTTGAGATTGTGCGTGATTGTCACTCGACTGCTGGAGCTCATGTACAGCGTCAGGAGAAGCTGCTGTCCAGCTGCTAGAATTCCTGCCAGTTGCTTGCTCTGCTCCTGCAGGGACTGGTGATGAGCCTGCACAGATTGTTGGCATCAACACCGCCGTGTCAGCACCATTAACAGCATCCTAGTACATAGATGTATCCTAGTACATACCTGGTACATACCTAGTACATACATAGTACATAGATGTAAGGGACTACTAGTGCTCTTTAAGGACTGGATTCCAATGTTCAAAGATTGCTTTATGTAGCGTGATTTACCGAAACTGTTGACCAGTACATATGTGTTCAGACATGTGACCAGAAAGAACTTCACATGCAGGGAGTGACACACTTGATCTATTATCTTCACTTGCAGAGGAAGGCATTTACCACCGGAAACAGACTTTAAGCTCATGCGTGATGATCAGGAGGACAGACAAAAGTGAAAGCTTACCTCCACTCTTTCTGTCTGCTTCTTCAACGTGGGTGCATCCACGGCTGGAGGACCATCAGCATACAGCTGATCTTCTAGGCTACTTATCCACTGAGTGGATGGATCAAGCAGCTGTGAAAATGTCTCAAGATGTTCCTTAACGTTGGACAGCTGCTTTTTCCTGGCCTCGGACTGCAAGAGGAGGTGGCCATTGCTGGTCAGTAGATCTGTGAGCGAGGCTCGGTGGTGATCTTTGCTGGCAGTATCGGCAACTTGATTCGACAGCAGCGCCTCGCCAATCACTTTCACTGCGTCTATCTGTGTCTGCCTGCCCTCTAAGGCCTGGTGGAATTCCTAACAAAACAACAACCGTAATAGTATGGGTGCTCAGTTACTTTTTTCAACGGATTACAAAGGATGAAACTAGAATGCAAAAGCCAAATCTACTCCACCCATTCATAACAGAGGGCTTGAAAGTGCTACGTCGCAGCCATCCCGGAGTCATGACAACGCTGACTTTTGGATCCACTTGGGTCCAGCTTTCCTATGGATCCATACACGTTTAGGTAGTTTTCCTTCACAGCATAGTGACACATCCACCAGTAATGACTGGACCGGCTCCTCCCGGTCAGGGACTCACTCCTGGTACAGAAAACCCCATACCACACCTGGGTGCGACATGAGGGGCCTACCCACCACAACCTGCATTTCCCTATGGGCAGAGTGGATCCAGAAGTGTTATTTGTCGTTTGATTTTGACTTCTGGTGATGGCTTGCAGGCATGTACACGTACCAGGAGGATCATGCACTGATAGCTACACTATTGAGCAGAGAGGGAACCAGCCAACCGTACTGCGCCTTCTACCTTCTCCATACATTATAGGCGATTCAGACTACGGCCAAAATCATGTGTGAACTTGAATTTCCATGGTGATGCAGTCACGTTTCAAAATTTATGCACAATGCCTGATCAAATCCGTCTGAGTCGTAGAAACGTGGTCACAATTGGCCCTAGTCTGAATCACCTATTACCCAGCACACACACACATTTCCCACAGGTAGTGCAACAATCAACACGGCCACCATCCTTATCCTCACTCAGTACACGCTATCACTCACATTGTGCTGAGCGATTTGCTCGTTCAACTGGTCCATGTCCAACGATGGTGCCTGCCGGTGCTTGGCCGTCTCTTCGGCACTGGCCAGGAAGTACATTTCCTCAGTGCAGTGACGTTCAAGCGCTTCCGTCTTCTCGTACAAGTCTCGCAGTAACAGCTTGCGCTTGAACGTGGCATCCCTGAACGTGTCTAGCCGTTCACGCAGTACCGCAACCTTTCATAGGAAGGATAAAAAGCAGATGACACATGTCCAAACCACCTGCTACCTATGAAGCTCAAGTCAGTGTAAAAAATCTCAAAAACTATTTCAACATTGATGTCTGCATGCTCAGATACCACCAATTTGAGTTCCAATTTGAGTTTTCATCTTTGAACAATCGTAATAGTAACCTCTTAACCAATAGGTCAGTACAAACACAAGATCAACAAGTCCTGAAGGGGTCGGCTGATCACAACCAACAGCAGTCACAGTGTTCACCGCTTGTTGGCAAAATTCTATCTGGTTTTAAACTGAAAATGGTAGGTACGCAAGACAAGTATGAGATTACCACAGATGGCCCGTCGGTCGAATTTTTATTGCCGAAGCCGACGAAGTCCTCGTACGCTGCCAGTGCCTGCATCATCAGTGCATCCTGGACAACAGAACCGTCCTCCAGCTCCTATCAAGATAAAAGAGATAAGGCAAAGACAAAGACGCACCGCTCTCCAGTGGCTACTTGTTCAAGAAATGGATCTACTGCTCAAGGCTACTGAGCCCTATATGAAACATGGAAGATCTTTAATGTCAAGCGACAGAGACAGTAAACTACCCAATGACATGAAGTGGAGGTGTTAAACATGGGGAAGGAGGAGGGGGGGGGGGGGGGTCAACGTAGGGTAGGAGGAGGGGGGTGTTCAACGTGGGGAAGGGGCGGGTGTTTAACATAGGGAAGGAGGTGGGGGGGGGGGAGGAAGGGGCATAGAAGCCTACACCTTATAACAGTCATACATAGACTTGCCTCAGCCCACCCAGAAAGAAGGGTGTGCAGTGAACGATATCTATGGAGCACACCATTACCAATACAGACACACAAGCTCATCTTGGAACTTCTGAAAGTGGTGAGGATGTCTATGTGTATAGGGCTTGAAAGCAATGTCGTCAGGAGTAAAACAATAACGACCCATATTGCCATCTACATCCACTCTGTCCATAGCGAGGTATGGTGTGTGGTGGGTAGGTCCCTTGTGTTGCATGCTGGCCGGGTGATATTTTCTGTACCAGAAGTGGACCCTGACCGGGAGGACCGGGTCCAGTCACTACCGGCAGATGTGTAACCCAGCTGCATGTGAAGGGGAAATACCCAAATGTGTATGGGTCCATACAAAACTGGATCCAAGTGGATTCAAAAGTCAGATTACTAGTAGTCATGACTCGGGGCTGGCTGTGATGTAGCACTTTCCCGCATACCGATGAGAAAACCCGGACACCAATTTCACAGGGTATATAAGATACAGTACACCCATCGTTGTACGTTGTCACTCACTTGAAGAATGTCCATGTGGTTCTCCACATCATCGAGATTTGCAGGAATAGCAGATGCTGACTCCTGGAGGGCGATGCGCTCCGATTCCTTCAGCCAGGCAGCCACTTCATCCAGAAGGTCGTGCACGCGCCCGGACTTGCCTAGCTGCTGTTTAAGTCGCTTCTCTTCTCGACGAATAGCCGTCACCACAGCCTAGGAAACGAGAGACAAGGGGGGGGGGGGGGGGAATTAGACAGACACCACCCACTTGCACAGTGGCTCACTACATTCAGAGTAAACATGTATGATGCTAGATGATTCAAGCAATCATATTAGCACACAACAAGAAAAAGCTGCTCTATTCTCACCCTATGGGTTGAGGCAACACGGCAGTAGTGTGTAGTTGAACCCCTGTACAGCAGCATGCACTAACGTATGCAACTTCCCAAAAGTCTCTCGGTTCAATCAAAACACTGTATGACGCTCACCTCAAAACGCTCTGAGATGGCTACCAGCTCATCTGGTATCTCGTCGATCACCAGTTTCACATCATCTTGCTCCTCTTCTGCAAGGACGCTGTGACCGACCATTTGCAGCAATTCAGCAGTGAGGACCTGCTTTAGCTGCTCCATGTACGCAGTCAACAAATCCTGCCAGGCCTACAGTGCACACATGATAGAAACACAACAACACACCATTATATACGCATACCTCAGTTATCCGGACAACAATTGTTACGGGCAGTGCCCGGTCCCGGATCGCCCGGATAAACAAGGTTTGGGTGTATGCGCAGTGAGGGGGCGCAACTCAGACTAAAGAACAGTCCAAGAAACCGAGGACACAACAGGGGAAACCGATACATCTAGTAGTGTCAGTATATCAGTTGTGTGAACTCTGAATGCTCAGCGGCAGGACATCACTTCCTGTGTCCGCTAGGAGGTGTACGGTTTCCAATCCTCCTCGGTATACCATGACATGCAGGCTATTGCTCATTGCTGCTTGATTACCTGAGCAGTGTCACTTGTCGTCTGGCCCACACTGAAAAATGTAGCGAATGTCTCTTCCTTTTCTTCGGCATCATCCTGCAGCTCCTGAATAGAGGATGATATACATGCAGATACATGCTATTATTTAACTGGAAGATGCAGAGAACACCACAATCATGTTCTTGGTTCACTGCAAATAGGCAAAGCTTGAACATCTGCACCACAACAGATAGATGCCATTCGCACATCACAAAATGAGGCTGTACAACTATGGGGTCATCCCATGCCAACTGAGGATATAAAAACACCAATTTCTTTGATGCCATGGTGTCATCACCAATTCTCTTAGGTGCTGGAACACCTGGCGTTGGATGGTGTCCTGGAAACATGCTCAATCTGTTTCGTTTTAGTCACCCACAGTGAACACCTACCCTGCAACGATCCAACTGTTGCTTCAGATCGTCGTGGCCGGTGCTAGCATGCTGGAGATCCTCCAGGAGGCGTTCAGCGTTCTCAAGCCACGTCATGGCAAACTGTCGTCCCTCGTTGTACTCAGACAGTGAGGCAGCCACCTTGTCCACGAGTGCGGCGCGTTGACCACATGTCTCCGAACTAAGTGCATACCGTTCTCGAGCAATCTCGACGTCGTCGCAAAAGTCCTCGCGTAGTTCTTCTAGCGCGCCAAGTTGGTTCTTTCGTGCGCTGATATCAGCTTTCATCCCCTAAATGTAAATGTAGCAGCAGCAGACAATATAGCGGCATTGTGCCTTGTCAGAACCACACTCCCTAAGAAGTATCCAAATACGGGTACAGTGCATTAGGACTCCTTGTTTAGTAGGATCACCACCACACTCCCTAAATAGTATCCAAATACGGGTACAGTGCATTAGGACTCCTTGTTTAGTAGGATCACCACCACACTCCCTAAATAGTATCCAAATACGGGTACAGTGCATTAGGACTCCTTGTTTAGTAGGATCACCACCACACCTTGCACTTACTCAATAGTGAAGTATATGAGCACACACACAGAGGCAATATCTACACGGCCGGCTCTGCGCATGGCCTTACTATGCACATAGTAACGTTATGCATGCATAGCCCTATTGCACACATGGCATGAAGGGCGTCACAGTGAAGTGGAAATAGAGAACTCCACGCCGTCCTACCTGCAAAGGCTCCTGGAACTTTGAGCGTATTCGAAGCACCTCACACGGCAGGTCACTCTGGCTGATGAGCCTACTCTCCACGTCAGTCATCCACGTGTGGAATTCCATGTATGGCTGTTCTCTTTTGGCTTTGTGCTCCGTGCACAACCACTGCCAGTGCAGCTCAGCGGCCCGGACCTTCTCCAGAGTGATAGAGTCCTCTTCGGCCAACAAGTCTGGGATCATCAGCTTGCACCGTTCCAGCAGCTCTTCATGACTAAGTCGAAGGGAATCGAATGTCTGAAAGCAAACCAAAATAGGATGCTCATGTTATTCCGTCTGGTAGCCGTGGATTGGGAAAGATTCAATCTCAAACAAATCGCCTTCTCCGGACTGTAAAAGTGAACATTAATTCGTGGTTGGTTTCACCCTCACTTCCTTGTATTGGCTATTTTCATTATGTGCCATGAAGTGCAGACAGCAAATAAAAAAATAAAAAACTGATGGATGTGGTCACTAGTGAACTGGATATACGGTAGGACACCACCCCCTCTCGTTCTCACTCAAAGAGAGTAACAGCACTTACATGCTCTGAGAAGAAATTGATAGGAAACTGTTAGCAAAGAGATGGTGGCGGTAGCTATATCAGGAAAAAGAAATCATGCCATACCTCATCGAGCTCGAGAGACAACAAGGCCTCCGCATCGGCAAGAACAGTAGCCTTCTTCACAGAACTATCTTGTTGTTTAGTTATCGTAGAGATCCGATCCCGACCTTCGGAAATGCCTGCTTCCAGACTGCATAGATGAACACAATCATACACATACTGTAAGTGAATTATATTTCGTAGTCGTTTTAATTTCTTAAATTTCACAAGGCTCCCATCATTTACGGAAATTAAAATGCTTACTAAGATTGGTCACAAATGAAACAATTATAGAATTTTCGTTGGATCATCATAGTTTGGTAATGGAACTACATATGGGTCATGTTAGTATGCTGTGCAAAGTAATACCGTAGGCCCAGTGCCCACCGTCGTAATGCGGGTACTTCACCTGCTTCTTTCTAGCACCAGCATTAGCAAGGTACCGGGCAATCTCATCGCTTCTGAAGCGGCAAACACTCTCACTTACCTTTGCACTTCAGTCAGGAACTCATTACACGGAGGGGGAAACTTCAACAGTGGCGATGGAAGTTCAAGAAACGACCCTGCAGTTGTTGCTACCTGCAGAAGAACAAAGTGCAAGGGGTCATTAATAGGCTGTCATGGTACATGGGTGTGTACGTGTGTGTGTGTGGGGGGGGGGGGGGGTAGGAGGGACATGTGTACATGGATGTGTGTGGGGGGAGGGGGGGGGGGGGGGGAGGAGGAGGGGGGCGTGTGTGCATGCCTTGGTCAGTACGTGGCTGCTCTGTGCATGTTCTCATCTCTTAGCCTGTCAAACCCTATTTATAGGGTTTTCAGCCACGCGTTCTATCTTGAGCTCTCTTGAGAGCCCACTTGGCTGCTATGGCAACTAGACGCCTGTGCCCACATACGTAGAATGTACGTAGGGTTCTCTTGCTGAAGACCGTGATCATTTTGTTGCTGTTTTCTTCGAGTACGGTTAGTTTTAGTGCAGCGCTGTCGTAAAAATGTCTAGACCCTACATCTAGGGTTTGATTTTTCACGATGGAGGAAGAGCAACTTGAGTTAGTGGAGATGAACTCGAGCGATGAGAATGTTTCTGGCGACCTGGTGTCGACTCAGGATGATGATGTCGATGTTCCAGCAGCGTCAGATGCTCCTGAAGAAGAAGGCGAAGCATCGACAGCGGCTGTCGCAGCTGCCGCTCCCGCCATTGCCGTTTCTGCACCAGCTGACCCACACGTGGGTTCGATCAATTCTGGCTGGAAGCAAGAAATGCCGGCCAGCGCTTCTCCAGCAGTGAAAATATTTAAAAAAACAAACAAGTGAAACTGTTTGTATTGTGTGCCCAGTTGTGAGGACTGATCAAACCCTTTCTTTAGGGGTCCTAACCCTATGTATAGGGTCCTTATGTGTAGCGTTATGTCAAACCCTATATATAGGGTTTCCTGGTGACAGGCTACATGCAAGTATTCGGATACAGGTACGACAAGTACATGTCACAAGGGCCAAAACAAATACCCACATTCTAGAGCATCCTACGTGAGTAACCTTATCAAGTTGTTCAAATATATTCATGACGAATCTATCTTATAATTGCCGAGGTCCCACAAAACCCACGAATCCAGAAACCCAGTAACAGCAGTAACAGCAGTAGCCTGCTGCGCTATGTGTGGTCTACAACATCATCCTACCTTCCAGTATCGCTTGTCTGAATTGTCAATGAGCAGGCACTCCTCCGCATGTGTCAAGGTTAGCTGTCAGGAATAGCAACACAAAAACAGGCCTGCGTCCACCATAATTGCTTCTTCGTCAAAAACTGTAACTCAGCGGTTCTTTAGCCAGCATACAGTTGTGGCACAGTGTTTATGTATCAAAGTGGTTCACGATAAACAATGCACTAACCTACAGCCAAACCTGTCTTCTAAAGTGATACCTGAAATAGGAGACCACATTTTCACGTCACAGACTCAGGCCATGCATTCACACCTGCCTAGGAAGGCCATCTGTCTACATATACCAGTGCGTCAGGCGAAATTACTGGTCAGTCGGCGTCACGCATTTTTCACAAAAATTTGCGTTTCACCTGCTGGGAGAGTATGCGTGTACTCGAGTCTCATCCTGAGCACGTTTTTTTCTTCTTTTTTTCAGCTCCAGTATAGCTGTATTTTTCATTGCAAAGCCGTCCTCGATTGTTGTGTTCGTTGTTCAAACGAAGTGGACATTCAATCATGAAGGCAGAGGACATAGGAGCCTGATTGGAGTTTCTCGTGGCATAGGACGGCCATACAGAGACACTTTGGGATTTTCTGAATATAAAATACCGTACGCACGATGCTGAGATCAATTTGTGCGATATCAAATTGTTTGTGATCTACCACATCGAGCAGAACGGGATCCAAACACAAGCTTACCGACGGTTAGGCTGCCGACCTGACTGGACAAAATGATCCCTGGCTTCACCAGACCCCAGACGTCGGACACCATGTCCTTTGCCGCGACGTCCATCTCCAAAAAGAACTCCATCTTCGTCGTGAAAAGGCTTGAAATACTCAATATTCAACCGAGATTCGCGGTCTCACCCTTTCTCAGATCGAATCATTTTTTGTTGTAGCAGTTGCAGGGCAGATCCCCGCCACTACTTCAACAGAAGATGGCTCCAAAGCATACCTGGAACAAGCCATATCGAGGTTGCAAGCCACCCCTCTCAGCACTTTTTTTGAAGAAATTCGAAATTTCAATGGTGGAAGATATACTATGAAGAGAATTTCAAAAAGTATATTTCGCGGAGCGATCGCTCAACCTACGTCATTCAAACTTTGCAGGATGGTTCAGACGTACATGCTAGGCATGGAACCACAGAAGATGATATCACAGCTGACACACAGAGTCACACACACAGCAGATTCGTATGCACAGATACTAAATTAGTGGACGTCGTCATCTTCTTCCCGCTGATCTCAAATGTACGATGACATGCTATTTCGCCTGACGTTTAAAGTGCCATAGAGTGGTCACTACATGCTGGCTTGACTGTACAGGTTTCACTTCTTGAATCTAACGACACATTCCACGGCACATGACCATCATCCGGACTATGATGTTAAGAAGGAGTGAATAGACACCCGCTTTCATCCTTGGCTGCACCACCAAGAGCCAGAAACATGTCCGAATCTATAATTTCACCCAGGTGACCACCATCAGGCATACATCGATGGGAATTCAGAATCAGATAGCCTGTAGACTGTCATTGGTGTAGTCAAGGATGAAAGGATGGTGTTGATACACTCTGTCACTAATCAACCATGCCAGCACAACTTGCTACTAATCAACCATGCCAGCACAACTTGCTAAGCAGGGACATGGCCCGAAGTGCTCCCATCCACAATGCAAAAAGCACCCAACTCAAGAACTTGACGTGCCATTCATCAGGATGTCCACTAACCTTCCCAATATTCATGGTGGAAACAGCATACACAAAGAACTTCTTCGGCGCCTCTTCCCAGCGTTTATGAAGTGGAGAAGCGTCCGCAGCTAAGGCAGCCACATCCTCGGTAAAGGTGGACAAATTGGCTAGTGCTTGCTCGGCTTCAGCAAGCTGCAATATGATGGGGAGAGGGACAGAAAACGAGCATGAAACTGAGGCACTAGAAAGATAGGAGCTATCAGGACCGCCGGAAGCAGCTTTGATTGGTCCGGTAGTATCGTGGCCTTTCATACAGTTTGTGTATGATATGGCGGGTACACATGCCAGTTTGTGTATGATATGGCGGGTACACATGCCCTCCACAGCAGTAATCATGTGTTGGTGGCCAAAAAAGTCGGTCCGGAGATAACCTGACCAACCGGATCGGTTCCGGCGGGCCTGGCTATTTAATAATGACTAAGGGGTTGTCCACAAATATCATAATTCTTTTTTAGAGAAGAAATTGGTTCGTTTAGGGGTTTGGGCCCTGTTTGCCTCGTCTTCGTGAAAATATATATCGATCTCTAGATATGGACGGGCATTTTGCAAAAAATGTAGTTGATGATTTACACAAAATGAAAGTCAACCTTGTGAATATACATGTGGCCACGGCAAAGGTTGTGCGACCGTGGCAGTGTAAACCCACTATATGTGTACCGCCAAATTTGGAGTTGCTGCTGGTCACCTTTCACGAGATCTCACTTCATTAAATTAATATCGATCCCCTGCATAAATGAGTGTATGTTCGTTATGAGGGCAGAGGGAGAAATGAACAAATATCGTCTTGAAAAAAATATCGTTTTTTACGGAAGGCCCCTAAAAACAATTTGTTGAATAGATCATATCCACGCCACTTCTCATCCTCTAGCTAATTCTCTACTTTTACAAAAAAAAAAGGAAAAAAAGGCTCAAGAGGGAATTGAACCCTCGATCTTCGGTTTACGAGACCGACGCCTTGCCACTTGGCCATTGAGCCACCCTATGGGCTTTATCTGCTTCTACGGTGTCTTGATTGTTGAGGGTGGTGGCATTCCAACGGATGTCAGCCTAACCAACAGACCCTTTGCATTTGGGCAGCTGCAGACTCACTCTTGAGGAGGAATGATATAGAAGGGAACAGAAGGCGAGTTTTCTGCGCGTGCATGAAATTAAGATAGCCATGTGTGCAAACACAATTTCCATTTACATAATGCTATTCTCCAGTAAAAGCCGTAACAGATATTTGTTTCATGCATGCTGTTTTCTCTGACATGAACCGCGGAAATTCAATTTTTCAGGAAGAGAACACACATACAGCTCCGTCTATCTGGGATCCTAGCTTCAATGGCGCTAAGCACACAGTACGAACGGCCAGGGACCAACACAACACGATTTATCAAGTTACTCAGTGAATTTTAGCAGGAGAATACCGACAACTGTACTCACCTCTGATTTGGTACCTTCTTGTTGTGCCTTAACCAGCAGTGCTTGTGCTTGCTTCAGCTGCTCCTGGCCTTCAAGGAATTTTTCTTTGGCCTAGGTCAAATCAAACAAGGTTGAAGAACACACTGCATCAGGCACTGTTTCAAAAACAGCAAACATAATGAGTTCTGGCCAGAAAAACCCAACGTGAGCATGACCACACCAACATCACTTTCTCTATGGCCCGGAGCTACCAGGGTACTGCAACCGTCCTAACAAAACGCTTATCTAATACTGTGCTAGGCTAAAAAAGGACAATGCGTGAATGTTTTATCAGTTGTTCAATTGAGTTGAGTGAAACGGCAGGCATGCGTGCAAGAACTTGAGGAACGACACCCAACTAACCTCTTGATACTTGTCAATCAGATCAATATTGCTCTCCATGGAGTTATAGACATTCTCCAGCTCTTCCCATTTGTCCCGGACCAGCTTACGCATAGCCTACAGACCACAGAAAGACCAATAATGACTCGCACACAGTCATGTCAAAGAAACAGCGCAGCAATCACACACAGGATAGGAGCACTCCTCCAAAACATGGTTCCAACAAAGTATAGTTTACAATCCAACGTCAAAGTGAATTGCCCTGCGAGCTGATTGGTTAGCTCGGGGTGTCTGGAAGGGAAGTCAGGTAGCATTGTTTTATACCGGTAACTGCCTCATAGAGGTTTTCGCCCGTACAAGAGGAAGTACTGCAGAGGCATCATTGCCGTAATCTGTCTCCTGCGCCATGTATAGCCCACGTACATGTAGAAGTCCACCAAGTCGAATACAGCATACTGTCTACAATGTCACTACCCTGTTGCTCCTCAATTCTAACCAGATTGGAGCCCATGGGCACTTGTAAAAATAAAAATAAAATAAATAAAAAGTTCACATCCATGTCATTACCAGCAAAGGTTTCCGGCTGGATGCTGGCAACTTTGATGCGAACGCCTCAAATCGCTCCCCAAAAGCAACAACCTCCCCTTCTTTCGCATCCATGGCTTCATTGAGTTTCTGGAGAACAAAATCAAGGTGAGCAACAGACACACTATTTGATGGGCACGAACGTTCTCCTGCATATAGTTGATACTGTAACTGGGAACAATCCACCGTGCATACAAGAAGGACTGATACAAATTTGCTTAGTTAACTCTGCCCGGTTCACATTGCTTGATGACCATTGACTGCATGTCCAAGCAGTCAGTCGTACAGCTGATTACGCGCAGTATAGATGAAGATACATTGTTTACCTCTTGGCATGTAGCCATGTCGTCCACGTCGCTATTGGCCATGTCACGCAGCAGCTCCGGGTCGACCTGTACTTTGATCCACTCCAAGATGTCACCAGCATCGATACACCATTGTAACAAAGCGAGTCGTGACTCACTGTCGCCCTGTTCGTGATTCACAGCAGCACATGAAAAGCATACAATGGAATCACTGAAAAGAAGTGGAAGTTGAAATACATAAGGAACCGAGTAACCCAGTCCTCGCACATAATAATCGATAATGCTACTGCTTGCTTCCATCTCCGTCTGACCAGCTGCAGGTTGTCCGACGAACTGTAGATGGTCCGACCAGATGTACGTGGTCCGACCAGCTTTAGATGGTCCGACTAGCTGTAGGTGGTCCGACCAACTGTAGATGGTCCGACCAGTTGTAGATGGTCCGACCAGCTGTAGATAGTCCGACCAGCTGTAGGTGGTTTGACCAACTGTAGGTGGTCCGACAAACTGTAGGTGGTCCGACCAACTGTAGGTCGTCCGACCAACTGTAGGTCGTCCAACCAACTGTAGATGCTTCGGCCAACTGTAGATGGTCCGGCCAAGTTGGTCCGACTAGCTGCAGGTGGTCCGATCACCTGCATGCGGTCCGACCAACTGTAGGTGGTCCGACCAACTGTAGGTGGCCCGACCAACTGTAGGTGGTCCGACCAACTGTAGGTGGTCCAGCCAACTGCAGATGGTCCGGCCAACTGTAGGTGGTCGGACCAACTGTAGGTGATCCGACAAACCGTAGCTGATCCGACAAACCGTAGGTGGTCCGACCAACTGTAGGTGGTCCGGCCAACTGTATGTGGTTTGGCCAACTGTGGATGGTCTCCGACCAACTGTAGGTGGTCCGACCAACTGTAGGTGGTCCAGCCAACTGTAGATGGTCCGGCCAACTGTAGGTGGTCGGACCAACTGTAGGTGATGGTGTGACCAACTGTAGCTGATCCGACAAACCGTAGGTGGTCCGGCCAACTGTAGGTGGTCCGGCCAACTGTATGTGGTTTGGCCAACTGTGGATGGTCCGGCCAACTGTAGGCGGTCCGACCAACTGTAGGTGGTGGTGCGACCAACTGTAGGTGGTGATGCGACCAACAGTAGGTGGTGGTGCGACCAACTGTAGGTTGTCGGCCAACTGTAGGTGGTTTGGCCAACTGGAGATGGTCCGGCCAACTGGAGATGGTCCGGCCAACCGTAGGTGATCCGACCAACTGTTCGCGGTGGTGCGACCAACTGTAGCTGATCGTACAAACTGTAAGTGGTCCGACCAACTGTAGGTAGTCAGGCCAACTATAGGTGGTCCATTAACTGTAGGTGGTTTGGCCAGCTGTAGATGGTCTGACCAACTGTAGGTGGTGGCGTGACCAGCTGTAGCTGATCCGACAAACTGTAGGTGGTCCGACCAACTGTAGGTGGTCCGGCCAACTGTAGGTGGTCTGGCCAACTGTAGGTGGTTTGGCTAACTGTAGATAGTCCAGGCAACTGTAGGTGGTCTGACCAACTGTAGGTGGTGGTGTGACCAACTGTAGCGGATCCGACCAACTGTAGGTGGTCCGGCTAACTGTAGGTGGCTTGGCCAACTGTAGATGGTCCGGCTTCTGTTTGTGGTCCGGCTTCTGTATGTGGTCCGACCAAATGTAGGTGGTGGTGCGACCAACTGTAGCTGGTCCGGCAAACTGTAGGTGGTCCGACCAGCTGTAGGTAGAGATGTCAGAGTGGTTACGTAATCGCCCTAAAATCGTGTCGCAGGACTGACCATAGCAGCTACAGTCACGCGTGGCACACGACCATGATCCTGCACTAGGCTGAAAAATCGCGTGGGCGTGCAAGCAGCATGCTTCCATGGCCTCGTACAGCAGCCCAAGCTTGTTTTTGAAGTGTTTGGAGAGGAAGAAGGCGAAGAGCAAAGAGAAAGCCCCTGTTCAGAGTTTGAACTAGCAATCTGCGTTGTGTTTTCGCGAAGCTGCCGCTGAGCCAAAGTAGGTTATTTTCGTTTGGCTTTTTTGGTCCCTGCGCATCGTTGCACGCCTTGGATTCGCTCACCATCGTCTTCCGCGTCCTTGAATTCAGTTTCTTGCAAAGTTTGGTCGCCGTGCTTGCTTGCGCACCATAGTTTTTTTAATCTTTTTGTGCGCACCTATGTGAACAGGGTACATAATTATGAGTGGTCTACGTGCGTGTTCAAGTAGTGGTTTCAGTTCTGATGAGAGGCCCAGAGGAACAACGTGATTTGTGCGTTGGATCATCTCTGGCTAACAGCTCGAGGTAAACCAAATCGACACGATATCGAATGGACTGGTCTTGGAACAGAGCAAGGTGAAAGATGAAAATAACTGTACAAAACACGTCCCAATGTTCCTGGATTCTCCCTGGCGTAGTTGTTCGATACTACATTAGTAGCTTTGCGATAGAGAAACAAAAATGCTTGATTCCAACAAGGTGTTGTCCTTTGCCGTCCATGGCGAGACGAACCAATTAATTTTGTTGCTTGGAGTACGGATTCGTCGTAATTTTTGCACTTCCCTCAGCTCTGCACTTTGTTCCCCATGGCAACCGCTTATGACGCACTGGGCAAGTTGACGGCTTTTGTGCCATCGCATCTTGCTGTTTGTGTGCAGTGGTGCATCCCTCAGCATGACAATGGCGGGTGCCTGTAACCCTACTTCGAGCGTGTATAAATACCGCTTCCATAGCTTGGATTCACCTAAAATTTGACCAGTACGGAGCGTTTTGGATACTGATTCGATTGGTATATCACTCATTCCTCTGGTTTCAAGTTAGATTTTTCGTCTGATATCGCTAGTGGTCCGGCCAAATGTAGATGGTCTGGCCAACTGTATGTGGTCCGACCAACTGTAGGTGGCGGTGCGACCAACTGTAGCTGATCCGACAAACTGTAGGTGGTCAGACCAACTGTAGGTGGTCCACCAACTGTATGTGGTTCAATAAGCTGTAGATGGTCCGGCCAAAATGCAAGTGGGCCAACCTGCATCACCTTCTTTTCATGCAGGCTACAGCTACATGTAGTTCCTGCAGCTTCCATGCTTCCATGCTTCCATGCTTCCATGCTTCCATGCTTCCATGCTTCCATGCTTCCATGCTTCCATGCTTCCATGCTTCCATGCTTCCATGCTTCCATGCTTCCATGCTTCCATGCTTCCATGCCATGTTCTTTCAGTCATTTCTAGCAGCATTGCCTTTCAGCTACGCCTGTTCAGCAATTACATTACTAAACACTCCAGTTTACAGTCATAGTTGCTTTCTCCGTTTGCTAACAAATGGCCAAATATGAGAGTAGCTTTCTGTCCTCTCAACTCTTCACGGTAAGATAATGCTCTCCTATTTCCAGTGCACGGCAACATGTGGTATCATTGCAGAAACGGACAGAGTGGTGATATTGTCATTCAGACGTGCCCCATTGTTGCATTCGAGATATCGACTAGTAATTGGCTTGACTTTTATTTATTTAATTCGCAACAGGCTAAGGGAAACCTACCTTCAACGTATGGTACCTTTGATCAAGTTTGACGTCCATATCAGCTTGACCTGGCTACACACACACAGCAAGAAAGGATAACACAGAACATTATTCATTGGTTTGAGGAACAGATGCAAACGAGAAAAGTCTGAAGACAAATTGAATGTCACCAGGACTCGAACCAGGGACCTTCGCTTGAGGCCAGCGATGCTCTAACCACTGAGCTATGGTGTAGCTGCCATCCCAGCAGAGACAGAACATTACAAATACTAGTGACGTTTACGTGCTGTACTCAGTTTCCAGACAACTATCTGGTTCGACCTTTATGGGTCTCATCAGCAGAGCGAGCTTCGGTGGTAATACGGATCAGAAGGCAGCTAGCAAGAAAGTATTCACAGACAGCCATCAGGAAATCTTGTGAAATCTGTTGTTCTATTTCAGAATAGATGTACCGTAACAGAGCAGGATTCGTCGTTGCAGATGTGGCCTTGTGACTGTTTTCACAGATGATGCCACAGAGTTGGCCACTGAAATCGCTCTATGAATATACTAGTACTATGAACAGTACACAGCCCTGGCACTATAAACACTCGGCCGTGCACACCTAATGCTATTGTGATAGAGACTGCTGAAGACAAGGCATTGCAACATTAGAGCGCCGTCAGACAGAGGCTAGCTAGCTCTTACCACAATCTCCCGGGAACAGAACTCGTGCACAGCGTCTCCTTTCGACACGATCTCGGCATGTACAGTCTCATATTCCTCAAGCAACTTCTTGGCAACTGTAGTGTCAGATGACCACTGGGCACTGGCCAAGCCTTCCTGGCAGGTTCAATAGTAACAACACAATGAAGAGACAAGGAGTGAGCTATACATGGCTTCATACTATCAAGGAATGAAGGTACCACGAATGAAGGTAGGTGAGCTAACAGTTTTAAAGCAATGAGGACTTATGAAGATCAGGACGGTGAAGTGCATGACGATGCCCATAACAACAAGGTTGCCAGCAGACAAGTTTTTTTTCTCGCAGAATGTGATTTCAATTTCAGTCTGCACCCATGCATTGCCCGTGTAACCGATAGCAACAACAACTACTCCACCTAGATCATCAGAGCAATAACCCAAGGAGCTCAGCTGGTCAAGATGGTCATGGTTTCATGGACAAGGGAGTGGAAAGATTTGGGTCAAAACGCCTGTATTCCTGATCTATGCCGCCAACTTCCCCCACATAAGGACTCTTAGCCACCAAAGCCCACCGTCAACCCCCACAAATTCCACCAAATGCATGCTCCACCGTCTGTGATCCTAAAATGTCTACCATGCAAGCGTTTATGGACACAACAAATACACGATAGACTGAGGTACTCCATTTCCTAGCAATCATACCTCACAGCCCTGTAGCCAGATTGAAAGTTCTGTGAACTTGCGAGTATACTCCGAGGCGGCGGCTGACTTGTGATCCAAGCTCGTCATACGCTCTTTGAGACCAGACTTCAGACCTTGCAAGTTCTCGTTGAGCAGTTGCGTCCTAGTCAAGGTCAGGACAAGATCACAATAAGCTAGTGCAGCACTGAGTGCTCTCATGCTGCTCTCCCTTACACCAAGGCAAGCTTAGCTAGCACTAAACATGAAACATGGCATGCGGCTCAGTCCAGTCAATGTAAGAGCACTCCACACCACCTACACTGTTTACACACATTCTACATGCATTCATACTATGTAGCAACACATACCTACATGCATTCATACTAAGTTATATAGCAACACATACCTACATGCATTCATACTATGTAGCAACACATACCTTTGCTTGAAAGAGTCGTCTCCGCTGATACCGGGCATTGTGGTCTCAATTCGCTCATTTAGTACCCGCACTGATTGCTCAATAGTCTACACAGTGTGGAAGATAGGAGTGCACATTCATTACCAATACATCAAACTTGATGTGCAAGAGAAGCATTTTTTTGTGCCAATCCTTAGAACTCCGTTTTCATGTCACTACCTGGAATGTTGTTGTTGTTGTTGTTGTTGTTGTTAGAGACTCCCCCAAGCCAGCCGACCTTTCACACAGCAAACATCATAAGAGCTGAAGCCTACCTGCAGTTGAATCTGGACTTCCTCGAGCCGTTCACGTGCTCCCGTCGAGTCCTTCGATGCTTCCGTCAGCTCGTCAATCTGAAAGTGAAGTACAGCACGTAGGATCTGTCCAGAGCCCAGGGTAGCGTACAAGACAGCTCACGTTCCACTCTTTATCATCCACACAGCAACCCATTATGACCCAGCCGCTCTCTTCATGCATAACACACAACGCCAATACTTGATTAAAGTTCAAGATCACACACAGTCCTGCAAGCAAAGACACCTTACCAACTTAACGGCTTCAACCTGTGCCACGAGGAGCTTGTCAAGCTGCTCCAGCTGCCACAAACAAGCAAAATACAAGAAGAGGGTGGTTGCACATGCCGAATTTGTAGTGTACAAGGCAGACCGATAACATGATCGTTTCGGCCAAGCACATCAACACAGATAAGAGTTTACATGGGTAACATACATCATGCAAGTCAGTGTGGGGCTTTAGACTAGACCAGATACTGGACGTAGTGTTACAAACACTCATGGTCTCCCTCAAACAATCACATCCGGACCATCAGCATTACATCCCTGCACACAGCAAGTAAACCTCGTCACAGTCTCCAGCAATCAATCCAGCACGGGTGCATTCACTCTCACTGCCACTCAGCCAATTGACCAAACTCGAAATTTACAATCGCAAATAAGTTACAACTAACCTGAACCTGGAGCTGTTCATTTCGGCCATTTTCTTCACAGCTGAATGGAAAGCCCAACAGACAACAGCGTCAGAATACCCAATATCCAGGTTCACAAAGCTATCAAAGGGAGGCATAAGCTACCCCGTCTCTGCCTCTGTGTGTACAGCAGAGTAGTCATATTATCACCTCTCAGGACGTTCTGCCC